ACTTGCACCCTCCAGGAATAAACACACCCGGACACAAGGCTGTATATTAGGCATCTGTCTCTTTAATAACATTATTTTACAATATACCCAAAAGTTGATAAAACCCTCAAAAAATACTACATCAGTAACCATTATGTACAATTTTAAAAAGGAATATTACAGCTTTTCTTTTTCATTTTTATTTTTTAGGAAAATAAAGATATTTGTTCTGTGAAAAGAAAACACTTTTATTGCTGGAAAAAAAACCCCAAACAAACCAGAAAACAGGTGAATAGAATAAGGTTTTCAGCAGAGCCCCAAGTGGGTACTGTGTGTACTGAGGGGGTTCAGGGGGGGTTGTGAAGAGAACACAAGGGAGGGCAAAGGACATGCAATATATACATTAATGGCAACATATTCTCAGTCACATACGTCAGGATGGTGAGATGGAAGGAAAAGAACTTTTATCCTTTCAGCAACGCAGGTGATTTATGTACATGAGGCTCACTGTAACCTTCTAAGTGCTACATAAAGTCCAGATCTGAAGCTTCGCCCCTCATAGTACTTGACCTTTATTGAAATTCCTTCAAGCACCCACCAAACAAATTAGAGGGCACTGTGCTAGAACTGAACTAGAAGATACAAAGTCACCAGATAAACGTGTATTACACATTGTGAGGACATCATACGAGTCCAAGTACCACCGTTGCAGGGTCCCCAGCTCAAGGCAACCACTATGATCATCCCTAGATCACCCTGAAACGGGAGGCATTCTTTGACGACAATGTCTTTACAATAAATATGTGATACACATTTATTTGGAGTGCAGGTGATCTTGTATCTTCTCATATAAGTGCTCAAACATGCATCGCTCCAGCCCCAGCATGATTTGCCAGACTAAATGAAAGTACATTGGACTGTTTTTTTTCTTTTGATTGACATTTGTGGGGGAAGGGTTTTAATCTCTGCCAGATTTTATTGGCAAGATGAAGCTTCACCTTCTCCAACACTGACCATAGGTTCACATCTGTGTGGGTGATGCCGCTGTAGATCGGCACAAAAATCCATGCACCCGCACAGAGAAATGCAGACCCACGGGCGGGTGCCATTAGTGATAATGGCACGCTGCCCTCACTGGAAAGCGCAGCCGTACTGGGAACCTCGGGCTGCGTTTTCCAAAGAAGTGCAGGGACTTCTTCTCTGCATGGCACAGGAATCCATTCAAATGAATGGGCTCTCGTGCCTGTGCAAAACGAGTCCTGCACAGCCGCATAGATATAACCGGGGGTCACACTGTTGAAAATCTACATTCTGTTCTGGTGAAAACTGAGCATTTTTAAAAGGAAAATTTTCTGGTGGAGACATCTGCTGTAGGAGACAGTCAGGGGAATTTAATAAATCCCTACTGACGTTTCTGGCACTGTATCCCACAGCAGATTCAAAACTCCCTGCCAGCCCAATTCCACAATTTTACTGGCAAGTGTTGCAGATTTAGACGGCACCGCTTCTACAAAGTGGCACTATTGATGCCTCAACTTCAAAAATTATTACCAGTTTGTAGATAATTGAAGTAATTAAGATCTACTCTAAGTTGGCGTACAGAGACAGGCACAATGCATACTGTGTAACCGCAGCGTATGTGCTGCCACTGGCCCTGGTTGTTAAGGGTGCTGTTGGCTTCACAGCTGACAGCTTCCTAACACCAGTAATGCTGCAGTGGGCAGAGCTTGATGGGAAGACTAAGACACTAGTTCCCCCATCAGGTTTGCTCTCTCCTGCAACACATACATGGATCTGCTGCCTGCATGGGCATTTATCATGTAGAGGCACCTTTAGAATTCCAAAGAGTCTTTGAAATCTCACAAAAATGGGGACTCAGAGATACTCAGGGGAAGATTGTCAAAGGAAAATTGTTATTCACAACAATAGCAATAAAACCCAACAAAAGGTTTTAACCCTTCCAAAAGATAACAAAAAATACATCTGTTTAGCAGCAGAATTCTTTATTACATTTAGTTGGCTGGAGTGATGGACAATTACAACAACCACGCGCTCGTCTGTTTGCATTGTGCTCGGTGTCAGTGAGAAATAAACATGCCAATTTTTGGTGGTTTCCATCAGCCGCCTCATTTGTCACATGCAGCTGTTTCCATAACTATGCTTCAAACAAAACTATATTGAATATCTTAATTATCACTGGAATTTTGTTTGACGTTCCCCCTGTGATAGATTGGTTGCCATATTATGTCACCACTTCCCAGTTTAATTTTGAGTCAATTAATCAAAGCTGCTAAAGCCAGCCATAGATGCCATTACTGCCAATGGTGGTGATCATTGTGTTCTGCCAGTAGGGAAGGATCTCCATGGGCAGAACACAATCGTGCTGGGAGAGTGATTCCTCCATCAACACAGTCTGTGTTTATGGGGGTATTCTCTATAGGCTATTGTACAGAGCTGTGTTGTCGCTGAAAACTCTGCTCCTGGTTGAACCGTGTTGTTGACAATAACCTAACAACTGACCCTTTTAGAAAGCAAAATATAAACATTAGCAAGCCTGTCGGCCTAATAAAATACCTCACATAAATAGGAATACAATAAAACAAGACACTTAAAACAGCGTCACTAAAGTAAATTACAAAACAGCAGCCAGAAGGGAAGCTGCAAAGCAATAATGGGCCAGATTAAAAAAAAAAAAAACAAAACAAAATGTACATCTTCCCCCAATCAGATTCGAGCACCAAAAAGAAGGCAAAACCTGATTAGTCTCTTCAGGCAACAGCTATTTCCGGCTTTGCATTTTCTTTTTCGATATAAACCTGCGTCTGCTTCCCGCTACTAAATGGGCAGTTGAGTGACAGTTACATTAATTAACTACGTTGGAGAAAGCGTGAATGGATTCCATGATTAAAGTGTAATAAATCTATGAAAAATAAAATGAGCAAATATAATTCCAGAGAAATTAACCTTAGAATAAAAACACGCTAACATTGTAGTGTGGAAAATGTGCAAAAAAATATATACATTAAAAAGGTTCACCGGTCCGGCACGACCTGTAGATGACAGAAGATATTGCCCTCTGTAGTCAGAGTCACAAACCCTCAGGAAGCGTCAGCCCTCTATAACCAAACTGGTCTTGATGTCAGTTGTACTAACTGTAGAATGGAATATTTTCTGTTGATAGAATTTATTGCCAAAATGTCATAAAACTCAATCTTCAATGGAGATGATGATCTTGCTGTCAAATGCGGGGATTGTTCTGTGGCCTGGACCAATACTAGCCTTTTAATATAGGAGACTAGGTGTGGGCAGACAGCTAGCTTAAGAGTCTGAGATTGCACCCCTGATCTGCTGATTGTGGGTGCAATACTCTGCAGACTTCTTTTAAAAAAAAAAAAACTACACATTTTTTTTTTTTTACCTGAAAAAAAAAAGTGCTTGTTTTTCTAAAAGGTCAACTTATCCTTTAATCATCATCAAATAGCACACAAAAAAAAAAAATTCTACCTAAAATGTACATGTGACATAGAGGGCTATAAATAGGTAGCATTACAGTGATCCGATCACTGCTTGGTGCAGGACAAAGTGCTGCAAGCCTCATCTGTAAATATTCTGCTGGTCGCTCTCTAGGGAATTGCATTGCAAATTATAAAAATGGTTTAAAAGACAATATAGGCGGAAAGAGAAAAAAAAGTTGCAAATGCAAAATATATACAAGCCTGTACAAAAGTGGGATTAGAAAAGTCAATTAGTGCATAAGTAATATTAAATATATATATTTATATAATTAATTTAATCATATATATAATACAGACAGAGTAAGGACTAAAGTGCTTTTCTCTGCCATCTTCTAATGACCTCCTTCATGTGACATGTAGCCAGCATTACAGGAGAAATAAAAATACAATTCTCATACCACACTGGAAGTCTGTGTACTGACATCTCTCTAAATCAGAAGCATACGTAAAAAAAAAAAAAAAATTCCGAAATGTGGACTGACAGCATAGCCAGGAATAATTAACAGGCCAGAATGTATTCTTTCAATCTTAAGTTATGGCTGAAATTGGTTGGGAGGAGAGGAGGAGGGGGGGGGGGGGTCCCAGATGTGTAAATGTTCTAATAAAAAGTTGGTATTCCGGGTCTTTTAATGCCCCTTCTTAAGAAACATAGAACGGCATTTCTCAGTTGGGAGGAGGCACTGTATATATCAACTGAAAATATCCCATAGCTCCTTCTAGATTTCTCATAATAAATAGGAAATAACTATTTCCCACATTAATTTATATTTTGTACACAAATTATAAATAGAGTTTATAAATGTAAAAAAAAATTAAAATAACAGATTTAAAAATAAAAAAAGCTATAAAAGGATAAGCGCACTGTAAAATACTTATTCTTTTTGTCCCTCCTCCTGACCTAATTGATCCTTCTATGGGTCTTCGTCTGCCTCCATCTCCAGAGAAGACCTGCAACGCTGAATGTAAACAAACACTGAAGGCAGTTGTTGGATCCATATAGGTATTTATCTGTGGAGGGTTGGGTTGGGTCAGAGGGAGAGGGCAGAAATAATACAGTGCACTTTGTCTGAATGAGCACTTCGTCTTTAGGGTGGAGATTACGGTTTTGTGGCCATAGCCAGTGTAAGAATACAGCGGAATACTAGGAACAGAAAGTGAAACCACTGAAAATAGCGGAGCGAACAATGGCAAAGCACACAAAATGGCCGCCTCCGCAGCGTGCTGGCAATGGAATCCCTTTAAAACGGTTGTGTAAAAAGCATTTTCATACACCTCCATATCCGGTATGAACAACCAACATCCCTTCAATCGTTCAGGAATTACACATCCCAGCATACCGGCCTTTAGATGTCTGGGCAAGCTGAGATTTGCAGTTCTTCAGCTGCTGAAGTCTCACAGGTTGCCCAACACTGATTGAAAGAACTACACGTTACTTGACTAAGTGGTACCGAGCCGGAATTTCTCCTCTACCATAATGGGATGCAGTGTAACAGAGACACTTCCTGTTCAGGCCTCTTGTGTCAGAGGTTGCTGTGTGAGGTCATCGAGTGAGTTTTCTAACGTCCAACTTTTGTTCTCATCACAGTTCTGTGAGTCCTTAAAGTGGGTATCAGGAGATTGGGGCAAGATGGCATCTTCTTCCTTTATACAGATGTCAGAATCTCCTGGAAGAGAGAAAAAGAAAAAAAAAAATGAGGTCCTTGTGGTTATATCAAAATATATATACACACTGCTCAAAAAAATTAAAGTTACACTTTTTAATCAGAGTTTAGCATCAAGTCAATGAAACTCCTGGGATATTGATCTGGTCAGGTAAGTAGCAGAGGGGGTTGTCAATCATTTTCAGCTGCTTTGGTGTCAATGAAATTAACAACATGGGCAACAATGAGACAACCCCCAAAACAGAAATGGTTTTACAGGTGGAGGCCACTGACATTTTTTTTTCCCTAGCAATCCTGGTTTTCACTAGTTTTGCATGTGGCTAGTGTCAGTCTCACTCCTGGTAGCATGAGGCGATACCTGGACCCTACAGAGGTTGCACAGGCAGTCCAACTCCTCCAGGATGGCACATCAACAAGTGCCATTGCCAGAAGGTTTGCTGTGTCTCCCAGCACAGTCTCAAGAGCATGAAAGAGATTCCAGGAAGACAGGCAGTTCCTCTAGGAGAGCTGGACAGGGCCGTAGAAGGTCCTTAACCCATCAGGACCGGTATCTGCTCCTTTGTGCAAGGAGGAACAGGATGAGCACTGCCAGAGCCCTACAAAATGACCTCCAGCAGGCCACTGGTGTGAATGTCTCTGAGCAAACAATCAGAAACCGACTTCATGAGGGGAGCCTGAGGGCCCGATGTTCTCTAGTGGGCTCTGTGCTCACTGCCTGGCACCATAGAGCTCGATTGGCATTTGCCATTGAACACCAGAATTGGCAGGTCCACCACTGGCACCCTGTGCTTTTCACAGATGAGAGCAGGTTCACCCTGAGCACATGTGACAGATGGGAAAGAGTCTGGCGAAGCCGTGGAGAACATTATGCTGCCTGTAACATCATTCAGCATGACTGTTTTTGTGGTGGGTCAGTGATGGTCTGGGGAGGCATATCCATGGAGGGACTCACAGACCTCTACAGGCTAGACAATGGCACCCTGACTGCCATTAGGTATTGGGATGAAATCCTTGGACCCATTGTCAGACCCTATGCTGGTGCAGTGGGTCCTGGGTTCCTCCTGGTGCACAACAATGCCCGGCCTCGTCTGGTGAGAGTATGCAGGCAGTTCCTGGAGGATGAAGGAATTGATACCATTGAATGGCCCCCACGCTTGCCTGACCTAAATTCAATAGAACACCTCTGGGATATCATGTTCCAGTCCATTTGTTGCTGCCAGGTTGCACCTCACACTGTCCAGGAGCTTAGTGATGCCCTGGTCCAGATCTGGGAGGAAATACCCCAGGACACTATCCATCTTCTCATTGGGAGCATGTCCCGACATCAGGTATGCATACAAGCACGTGGGGGCCATTCTGAGTTGCTGCAATGAAATTTCAGCAAAATGGACTAGCCTGCTGCATAATTTTTTCACATTGATTTTCGGGGTGTCTTTGATGGAATTTTAAAGTGGCGAGATCTGTCATCGGCTGTGTACCTCGGACACAGCCGATGACAGATCTGTGTACCGACTCTGTTGCAAGTACCATGTGACCTGCTGTGACCAATCACAGCAGGTCACATGACAGTTGAAACAATGGATGACTTCCTTTCACACCATCCTTTGTATACAAGTGTTTCTAGCTGTGAATGGTCACAGTGATCACATACACAGGCTGGGACAATCACAGCCCATCTGTGTCATGTGATTAGCTGTGGCAATCACAGCTAATCACAACAAAAAAACTGAATGAATCAATTTCATTTGAGTTAAATGCTTACTTATAGCAAAGAAATTATTTGCTATAAGCAATAAATTGTGTAAAAAGAAAAAGTATACTTATCACTTCCCCAAAGTAGTACAGTGTTACTATGGTAACACTATACTACTTTGGTCATAGTGTAATATGAAAAAAAAAAATCTTAAAAAAAAAAAATTTTTTATAAAAAATAATACAAAATTAAAAAAAAAAAAAGTTTTTTTGTACTGTCACCAGTCAGTGTCCCTGATCACCGCCACACCAGTTATATGATGACGCTGTACTGCACTGGTGACAGTATGTAAAAAACAGTTTGAATTTTTTTTTAATTTCTTCATTTTCCAAATAATTATGACAAAAAAAATTACAACTTCAAGAAACTCGCCATTCCTCTTATAAAATACGTTGGACTGTTTACTTTGCAAAAAGGAGTCATTTGGGGGATATCTGTACTATTCTGACATTCTTGGACCTCAAGAAATTAGATTGGCTGTCAGTACTTCAGGATTGATCAATATTCAGATCTATACCATAGTTTGTGAACTCTATAACTTTCCTACAGACTAAATAATACATCCTAATTTGGGTTATTTTCACCAAAGACATGTAGCAGAATACATCTCGGCCTAAATTTATGAAGAACAATTATTTATTTGCAAACTTTTATAACAGAAACAAAAAACGTGTTGGTTTTTGTTTCAAAATTTTCATTCATTTTTTGTTAATTGTAGCAAAAAATAAAAACCCCGGCGGTGATTAAATACCACCAAAAGAAAGCTCTAGTTGTGTGAACAAAATGATAACAATTTAGTCTGGGTACAATGTTGCATGACCATGCAATTGTCATTGAAAGTGTGAGAGCGCTGAAACGTGAAAAATGGCCTGGGCAGGAAGGGGGTAAAAGTGCCCGGTATGGAAGGGGTTAAAGAGTAGCCAATAGGCCCACGTCTTATAAAGGTGTGATTATAGGATCGTGTTTCCGTTTGTTGTATCCTATCAGTCTTTATTCCTTAATAGAGGGTGAAGTGGGTGACCTGCCTCTGTCCTGCTTATACTACCTCAGGCATTTGTTGTGTCCTAGACGCAGTCCTTGTTTCTAGACTGAACTATCATTCCATGCTTCTTTTAGTGGACTTACCTTGAATCTCTTTCAGCCCATCCTGACTTGATAAAGAGGGTGATGATGGCTTTTCTTGTATGTCCTCCTCGGCCTGTGTCCCGTACTCAGTCACATGAGAGGACAGGATCATGGGTACGGCTTCTTGTAGAAGTTGTTTTGTGTCCTGGTTCTCTTGCAGTGGTGTCCTCACGACACCGTTTCCACTGTATGAGCCGTTTGTTTTGCTGAAACATCTGCCATTAAAGAGCAACACAACAATCATATAGATCATATAGAGAGTGGATATGATAAAGCAACCTGAGCTAGGTACAGGTTATATTGTATACATTTACATTGTTGTGCTACAGCTCATGGCATGACAACTCTGTTCATGCATGGACAATCGAGGAACTACATGTAGACATACCTGTTGTTGTTGCAGCAGTTTCTGCAGTTGAGACATTCCGAGGGATCTGTCTGGGGTATGGCAGTATAAAGAATGCCCCCCTGTAATACAAGGTCTGTTAAGTATTTATAAATATTTTCTTTAATTTATGTGTAGCACAAAAATAGTTTTCTAGCTAGAGAGAGATGTACATACAGTAAATATCACATATATTCTGCACACAATGGGGGAAATTATAGAGGGGGGCAAGGGGGAATAAAGCCAGCGGCACTCTTTCAAACAGAGCGGATACTGCGCCTAATGAACACAAGAGTGCAAAATTATTATTATTATACAGGACTTGTATAGCGCCGACAGTTTGCTCAGCTTTACATTATAGAGGGAGACATTACAGTAACAATACAAGAGGGATTAGAGGGCCCTGCTCCTTGGAGCTTACAATCTAGGAGGGAGGGGATAGTGGTACAAGAGGTAATTAGCTGTGGGGGATGGAGTGGTAGGAGGAGTAGGGGATTCCAGTATTAGCTGGGGTCGGGGTAGGCTTCCCTGAAGAGATGGGTTTTCAGAGTGCGCCTAAAAGTGAGCAGAGTAGGCGATAGCCTGATAGCTTGGGGTAGGGAGTTCCAGAGGATGGGTGAAGCCCTTGAGAAATCCTGGAGACGAGCATGGGAGGAGGAGACAAGGGAGCTAGAGAGTAGGAGGTCTTGCGAGGAGCGGAGAGTACGGTTTGGGTGGTATTTAGAGACAAGGTCGGTGATGTAAATAGGAGCAGTGTTATGAACGGCTTTATACGTCAGTGTTAGTGTTTTTAATTTTATCCATTGGGCAATTGGAAGCCAATGGAGGGATTGGCAGAGAGGGGTGGAGGACACTGAGTGGAGGGATTGGCAGAGAGGGGTGGAGGACACTGAGTGGAGGTCAGTGGAGGGATTGGCAGAGAGGGATGGCAGATACAGAACAGTTAGTAAGGTGGATGAGTCTGGCAGCAGCATTCATGATAGACTGAAGTGGGGATAGCCTGCGGTGAGGTAGGCCAGTGAGGAGGGAGTTACAGTAGACGAGGCGTGATATAATAAGGGAGTGAATGAGTTGCTTAGTGGTTTCAGAGGTTAGGAACGGTCGTATCTTGGAGATGTTGCGGAGGTGAAGTCTACATGAGTTTGTCAGTGATTGGACCTGGGGCTGAAAGGGCAGATTGGAGTCTAGGATTACACCTAGTACCCTGGCATGAGGGGTGGGACTGGTGGTAGTGTTGTTGATCTTGATTAGGTTGTTAATTAGGTTCACTCTGTTTCCTGTTCTCTGCTGTGTCTGTGACAGACACGGCATAGACCTGTTCAGCTGGAGCTTCATGCTCCAAAATTTCCCTGTCCATCCCCGCTTCCCACTCAGCTGAGTGAGGCAAGAAAGAGGAAAGAGTGTTAAAGGATAGGTTTTCCGTTTGAAAACATTTTAGGTTGAAACATGCCAATCCTCCCTCAGTGCAACAGTGTGCGGAGAATCTTCTCCCCACACCCTGCTGTCATTCATTCACAGTTTCCTATGAATGAATAGACTACATGTACCGTCAGCCATTGCAGCTCAATGAACTGTGTGGGCTCTGGTGAGCACTCTTATAATTCATTGATCTTCCTGCTCGTTCACTTTAATTAGGAGTGGACCTTGCACCAGTTTCTATTTCACTCTGTAACAGAAACTGGTGCAGGTGGCACAGATAGATCTGACATAGGTGCATCTGCTTAGTTAATGTGGTGCACGCCAATTGCCATTATAATTCAGAGGGAAGCTTGGTTCATTCCCTCGTATGTCCCCTTGCCCATTATGCAGCTCACAACATTGGTATAGCTCCCAGGTTACCATCAGTTTTCAGCTCTGGCTTCTGCTCCATGAATACATTTGATATAGAGAGAAGGAGGGACCATATTAATACATTATATCTTGAACCTAAGGTGATTTCTCTAGATCTGTGGACCTTTCCCTCTTTTGGTGACTATTAGGAATTGATTTCTTTGCAGAGCTATTTACCTCCTGAGCTCCAGATTACTCAAGATCTGAATGACTCTCCTAGCAGAGATGGCGTCATCTGCGTAGGTTAGCATCAAGATTTACAAAATGGAGTGTCAATGATGCACCCTGCATTACATGTGTAATAGAACATGATCATAATAAATTCAAAATAAAACTGATTAAACCCCCTAAACACAAGGTGAGGTTACTGCTGTACAGTACAGAAGTGTGACCATAATTTGTAGACTTACGTTAGAAATACTATGAGGTAAGTGTTCATAGTCTGGACATGTCCCCTTATGAGGACTGCTGCAGGCTGGGTACAGCTCTCCGTTCATGATGCCGTTAATGCCGTTGTGTACACTGTGATGCATGTGAGGACAACCATTAGTGATATTCCCGTTTCCAATAAATCCTCCGTGGACATTTCCATTAATCCGGTTGGTTCCCGGTAGTGTTGTGTATTCTACCATCTGGCCGTTTAGATCAGATCCTTGATATAGATAGCCAGGCGGCTCAAATTCTGCAGAAACAAGAACTCAGTTACATCTACAAGCGGAGGACTGTATGGAGCAGTAATGCAGCAGCACAGGCATGTTCCTCTGAATGGGGTCTGTTTAACATGGAGCTCTTCCCTTTAACAGATTTTATACTGGAAGGCAGGGCGCCGAAAACGATCAAACAATGGGGGAGATTTACTAATACTGGAGAGTACAAAATCTGGTGCAGCTCTGCATAGAAACCAATCAGCTTCCAGGTTTTATTGTCAAAGCTTAATTGAACCGGCTGACGTTAGAAGCGGATTGGCTCCCGTACACAGCTGCACCAGATTCTGAGGGCTCAAGTTTTAGTAAACGTCCTCCATTGTGTAGATTGATTGGTCGTGCGCCTTTATGATCATACATGGGAAATGTACACATATACAGAGGGTGTTTAATGGACTCTTCCATTGCGAACCATAAACAGGGTCCTTGGGTAACAAGCAGAACCTGAACACTGCCTAGGAGGCAGAAAGCAGAATAATTCACCCATGTGACACCAGTCCTAAAGTCACCCAGGACAGCCTTCCACTTACAGGGTGACATCTCGCTTGGCCCCCACTAGTGAGTGATTCCACGGAAAGACTGGCAAGCAGTATCTTAGAAATCCTGATGATGTTGATTTGACAACACTGCTGTGTGACACTAACGTGAACCATACACACAGAGATATTTTTCATGCAGTATGCAGATGGATGAATTCCCTTCTCCAGCTATTGTATTTGACAGCTGCCGTGCTGGCTTTCAAAATACCCCCAACAACGGCTGCATCTGATTGGATGCACCCACTGGTCAGCTGACAATTTTCCATTCGGCTACAGAGTATGGCCTGCTTTATTAAACACCATTACGCCAAACCCCCCTATTTATGTATTGCATGTTATGGCAACAACTGTTACAATTGCCACATTAAAGTAGTCTGTGAACTACTTGCCAGGTAATGCTGACTGGCAGGAATGCACCTTTAACATCACTGTCCAGATTCTGCCCTCTCTTGACGCTACAGCAATTCTGTGTATCTAATTTATTACTTTGGTTCTAGCCAAGAAGGATTTTGTACTGCCTGGCCTGTCCAGCATTATGATGGTGTTTTAGCATTATGTGGCAAATGTTCCAGAAGACTCCAGCTGTGTAACTCTATGTTGTCTCAGGCTAGGTTTACATTTGTGCTGCTCCTGAAACACAAGGAAAAGATCCCTGCAGCATTTCAGAAATCGCAGCCCACACGGGAACTGCAAGTGCAGTGTGATTTCCAGTGCGTGCCATTAGCATTAATGGTACCTGCAGACTGCTCCTTCATTTTTCTGTGTGGGTGATTGTGGCTGCGGGAACAGGTGTGTCTCTGAAGCAATAATCACCCGCACAGATGTGAACCTAGTGTTAGTGCATGCACATATCACAGAGCACCACTTGAGAGAGCCAGAGACTGAAACAATGTAACAACTCTTGACGTGTCAGTCAGTATGAATTTCTGCCTAGCCATAGTTAATTGATCATTTATAATTCATTGCTGCCCATGTAACACATAAGTGTGGAGACAAAAGGGTTTGCTTGAATGCCCACACGCCATACATATGCGTCATTGACCAGCTGAGGTGTCTATGCTGAGAGAGAGTGCGCTTACTGTCAGACAGTGCTTGATTCCCCACTAACAATCAGTAGCTGGTAGTCCCAATCATGTGACCACTGTGACAGTCAATCATGGTGGTCACATGGTCACTGATTTTTCCCTCCGCCCTGGGCATTCAGGACCTTTTAAAAGGGACAACAGGGCAGGTAGGAAGGACTGGTGGAGGTTTGAGAGAAAAAAGGCCTTCAAAATGAAGACACGTTTTACATTTTTTTTTACCTTTTCTTTATTTCCCAAGAAAGACAGAGAGAGGAACTTACTGTGCATGAGGCGTTGCTGTCGATGTTTCAGGAGACACATGGCAATGAAGGTCATTAATATAAGGACCATCCCGCCCAACACGCAGCCAACAATGACATACAGCATGTCCCCACTCCGTGCCAGAGAGATGGATGAGCTAGAGCTTCCTCCTGCGTTCCGTTCTGAAGCCGACGTTGTGCTGAGCTCAAGAGGGGGGAATTCTGAGGCGCCAGGGCTCTTTCGGGCTGGATTGAACAAAGACATAATACAGGGAACGGTTAAATGCAGCCTACTCACCAGAGCAAGAAACTGATTTCTTTTTTTTCTCCACAAGCCCAGAAAGAACGAACTACTTTAAAAATATAAAGATTTAAGAAACGTGTTCATAGGAGGTTGTGGGGACTCTAACCTAATCACCTGACCCCATAATTATTTGTTTTTCTTAAACCAGTTCTAACCAGTTAATCTAAAATCAAAGTTCCCTTCAAGTGCAAGAGCTCTCAGCTCAAGTGTGAGAGTGCTCAGCTCTGATTACTTCTGGGTTCAGAGCTAATGTAGTACAATCTGTGCTCAATTAGCTTCAAAAAACTACTGACCTTTAGTCTCGCATATCATGACATTGCTGTAATCACTGGCTCCTCTCTCATTGAAACATTGCATCTTGATGTCATAAGAGGTCTCTGGCTGCAGATCCCTGATTAAATGTTGATGCTTTGTTCCTGATCGAAAACACAGACATGATCTTCTGTTACTCAACATTTATCATTTTTTTTTTTCCAAAAAATTAAGCCCCGTCAAAGCACTCACATACCTGCCACTACGTCCCTCTTATAGTCGCCATCATTGTCACTGTCGGTGGGCCGGTAGTAAATATAGAAGCCTTGGATGGGAGTGTTGTTGTTGTTTGATGGAATGTACTAATAAGCAGAGGAATATTGAACAGAATTCAGTACATACGTAGTACATTGAGGTATAATATAGGTAACTATTTCTGAAAATAGCATTTTCTAAACAATTTAAAAGACAAACTTATAATCGTAGAACAGAGAAGTGAAAAAAAAAAAATACTCACAGTCCACTTTCAGCAATATCTGTGTGTCCGTCACCGCCTCCGTGTGGTCAATGCGAGGACCAACAATCAGCGGATTGGGTAGTCGGCTGCCGTACGCAGCAACCTGGTAAGGTCGTGAAACAGAACTGCGTGTACTCTCCCCGTAATTATTGATGGCGATGACCCGAAATTTATACATTGCCCCTTTAATAGATAAAAAGGGTAATTAGATAACATTTGAAGGGGCTGCGACAAGCTGAATGTATCATTTTAACCTTTATGGACCATGAATGTGAGTATAATTACATTAATGAACAGAAAATGTATAGAAGCCCTGGCATAAAAAAAAAAAAAAAATCATCTTAAAAAGGACTTTTACACATATTTATTAGGGCTAGACTCTGAATGAACGTGGTGCATACATTTCATAGAATACATGCATCATTTATACAGTGGTGATCCCCTGCAGATTTTGTAAGTTTGCCCACTTACAAAGAAATGAAGGGTCTATAATTTTTTTTATCATAGGTGCATTTTAAATGATAGAGACAAAACATTAACTAAAAATCCAGAAAAAAGACTATAAATGTTATAAATTGAGTTGCAGTTCAGTGAGTAAAATAAGTATTTGATCCCCTACCACCCAACAACAATTCTGGCTCCCACAGACTGGCTATGTGCTCATGTGGTACACCGATTAGTCCTGTCAATTTAATAACGTGCTCCTAATGACAAGTCCTTATGTGTATAAAAGACACTTGTACTCAGAATCTTTCTTCCATTCAAACCTCACCATCACCATGAGCAAGACCAAAAAGCTGTCAAAAGGACATCAGGGAGAAGATTGTAGACCTGCATGAGGATGTAACGGGCTACAGAGACCATCAGCAAGAAGCTTGGTGAGAAGGAGACAACTGTTGGAGCGATTATTCGCAAATGGAAGAAATACATCAATCGCCCTCGATTTTGAGCTCCATGCAAGATTTTGCCTCATGGGTAAGGATGATCATTAGAAAAGTGAGGGATCAGCCCAGGACTTACATAGGAGGAGCTTGTGAATGATCTCAAAGCAGTTGGGACCACAGTCACCAACCAAACCATTGGTATCACAATATGCCGCCATGGATTGAAATCCTGCAGCGCCTGCAAGGTCCCCCTCCTCAAGGAGGCACATGTACAGGCCCGTCTGAAGTTTGCCAATGAACATCTAAATGATTCAGAGAAGGATTGGGAGAAAGTGCTGTGGTCAGATGAGACCAAAATTGAGCTCTTTGGCATTAACTAGACTCGCCATGTTTGGAGGAAGAAAAATGCTGACTATGCTCCTAAGAACACCATCCTACAAGCACAGAGGTGGAAACATTATGCTTTGAGGCGGTTTCTCTGCTAAAGGTACAGGCATTGAGGGGCCAATAAACGGGGCCATGTATTGTAAAATCTTGGATGAGAACCTTCTTTCCTCAGCCAGAACACTGAAGATGGGTCATGGATGGGTCTTCCAGCAAGACAAGGACCCAAAACATATCCCTCCAAGGCAACAAAGGAGTGGCTCAAGAAGAAGCACATTCAGGTCATGGAGTGGCCTAGCCTACAGCCTTAATCCTATAGAAAATTTATGGAGGGAGCTGAAACTTCAAGTTGCCAAGCGGCAGCCAAGAAACCTCAAGGATTTAGAGAAGATCTGTAAAGAAGAATGGACCAAAATCCCTCCTGAGATGTGTGCAGACCTGGTAACCAACTACAAGGAATATCTTACCTCTGTGCTTGCCAACAAGGGTTTCTCCACCAAGTACCAAGTCATGTTTTGCTTGGGGATCAAATATTTTACTCAATGAACTGCAACTCAATTTATAACACTTATGTCATGTTTTTTTTTTTCTGTATTTTTTGGTTGATATTCTGTCTCACATAAAATACATCTGATAAAAATTATAGATCCTTTAGGTCTTTGTAAGTGGGCACATTTACAAAATCTGCAGGGGATCAAATCATTATTTTCTCCACTGTACACTTCCTACAGCAAGACTACCAGGATGTGACACCAATTGATTGACAGGTGAGATAAAACATGCACTGAGGAGTAGAATGCACATTTCATCATAAATGCAGGTTTTGCTTGCAGCATTGTAAGTCTGTCTAGCCTTAGGCAGCCCCTGAATGATTCAATTTTCTTTCCTTCCGCCACTGTTGATGGAGGAATGCTTCCTACAGCGTTATGGTGTTCTGCTGGTGGGGAGTCTTCCTGGTGGGCAGGACACAATGATTACTGCTATCGGCTATAGCTGCTGGCAGTAACCGAATGTAAAATAATCAGACAGGCCAAATTTCGATCCGTGTATGGCTGGCTTTCCTGCTCCTCTGATCTTACTGCAAGTTTATCAGCCAGATACTGTGCATGCTCTAATGACATTGATTAACCACAATGCTGTAAAAAGCAGATTTTGTTATAATTTTGAGTTTTTTCCCATTTATGATATAAGCACTAGAACTGAATGTGTGTATTTACTCAAATCTCTGATTAGGGCTGTTTAAAAATTTGAGGCATATTTATCTATTCTGATTGTTAAAAGGTGTGGCTGGCATCAAACATTCTACACCCAGCTGTCATTTCTCATGCACGTTGCTTTCTGGCTGTTACTGGCAGTTCTGTTCCCTTAAGCCACGGGTGTCAAACTGGCGGCCCTCCAGCTGTTGCCAAACTACAAGTCCCATGAGGCATTGCCAGAGCAACAGTTACAAGCATGACTCCCAAATCAGAGGCATGATGGGACTTGTAGTTTTGCAGCAGCTGGAGGGCCACCAGTTTGACACCCCTGCCTTAAGCGGACTATGGATGGACAGAATTTTGAATGAAAATTCTTGGGAAAAGTCTTAGGAAAATCTGTATGAAAATTCTCAGAGCGTTTAAATGTTGTCGAAAGATTTTGTTTTCTTTTAACATTTGAGTATGGAATGAACAGACTTTACCAAACAAAAACCACATACACTATTAGAAATTTGAGAAAATTTTTCATCATGCTCCTTCAAATTTTTCTTGTCACTGTCAAAACTAATGTCGATTTGACCTCATTAATGATTCCAAAAATAAAACAAACTTTCTTAGACCATTCTTTTCCTAAGGATTTCTTCTGTTTGAAATTCTACCCATCTATGACCATCTTTATCCAGGTCTTCTTAGTCCCTCTAATATATGGTCCCACAACAAAGCCAAACAGCTCTTCCCTTACCGGGCTCTAGATTGGAGACCTCCACGGACAGTTTTGATGGAGGGATGTTCTCTGCGGCAGTAACCCAAAGTCTCCTAGCTCTTTTGTATTCCACTTTAAAAGAAGTGATTGGGGAGCCTCCATTTGCCCTTGGGATCCAGGTGACGTAGACGGAGGTCTCAGACGCAATGGAAATTGTAGGACGATCTGGAGCTTCAGGGACTAAAGAGAACAAGCAAAAGCAATAAATTACTTTATTCTAGATGTAAACAGCAGAAAGAAATTACATTCAGTTTCAACAACATTTGGCAAGGCGTAGTCATTTGAAACAAGTGCACTCAGACAAGAGGGTTGAATGTGTGGTTTATGGCCAGCCCAAAGGGAAACCCCCACGTGTCTTCCTTAAGCCTGCACTTTATGGTTCAATGAACTTTATGCTGTCATTCTGCAGACATCCATTCATCTATGTGGTTTTTTTTTCAATTTCAATAAACTTTACTTGAGATGATTGTTCAAACCACTGCATGGTTTTTTTCACATAGTTACTCCCACTAGACACGACTCCTCCCTTGACACGGTTGTCATCAATCAGTTTATTCATGGGGATGAGTAAGCTCTTATTGACGACAAAAAGTGTTAGAAGAGAAGTAATATCCAACTGGAATAAAGATTTGAAAATAGCCATGCAGTGGTTTCAATAAAGTTTACCAACATTGAATAAAAAAAAAAAAGAAGTGGGGTGTAGCTTTAGGGGTTGCCACCTCATCCCTTTAAAACCAAACACATTAAGTACACGGGTTCTGTGGCTGATTAAGGTGATAATTAAACTCACCTAGTGCCTTATCTGTATTAAATTAGCCTCAGAACCTGTGTAATTAATATGTGTTCGGGTTTACAGGGATGAGGTGACAACCCTATGTGGCTTGCATGTTTGTTGGTACATGACTGCAGGGACCTTTGTCTTTTTTCAGCCAGACTAACTATGTAACTATGGAAGAGGCGGTTCCCAATTAGGCCTAGAACTCACAGTCAGTAGAGATGTGGAGGTCACCATGAGAAGTTCAATGGCTGTCATTCTACATGGAAAAGTCTGACTTGCCTTGTGGCTCCTCCCAGTCTGACCACAAGACCTGCAGACAGCCTTTTGTCAAACAATGCAAATCAGGTTCACAATAATCAAAATTAATTGGCGAGTCTCAGGTGAACATGTGCCAGCTGACTGCTGAATGGCAATTCACAACTCAACTCCACATAACAATTCCAACTGAAAACCAATCCTGGATCTGGTCCACAGAAGAGAAGACCCCATCTACAATTTTCTCACCATATTATTACACAGAATCTCTTGGCCTGGTTCTGCAGAATACAGATTATTTTGTGTGAAATCAGAGTGCGCTTCGACTAACATGTTGTATAGACTGGCTATGTGACTGGTACTCACACCTTGGAAATACTTACACTGTCCGCTTGGAGACAGAGAGCAAAGAAATGAAGAACAGAGAGAGAGAGAGAAGTTAGTAAGCAAAAGGACATTTGTTAGGGAAAACTGTGATTCTCAGAGGTTTATGTTTAAAAATATAAGCTGCCAGCCAGGGGCGGAGTGATAACTCATGGGGCCCCCGGGCAATAGGGGATCATGGGGCCCCTGTGTCCTTGCCTAAACTCAAAAAAGCCTATGAAAAAAGGTACCAGGGGCATCTCATGGGGCCCCCTACTGACCTCGGGCAGTGCCCGAGTTTCCAAATGGTCAGTCCGCCCCTGCTGCCAGCTTTGTTTCAAACGTAAAGGCCAACTGCACCCAAAACTAATTTTTCCTTTCTGCGTGGTTTCAGAAAAACTAAAATGCTACATGTAGGCTTTTGTACATCTCTTAGGAATCCAGTGGTGGGATCACCCAGCCAAAATTTCCCGTTCCAACCAATCACTTCAGTCACCACAAAGCCATTAAATGATGGTATCACATTTCTTTAAAACAGGGGTCTCCAAACTTTCTAAACAAAAAGGTACAGTTTACCATCCTTCAGACTTTAGGGGTGTTGACTGGCCTCAGGCTTGGTGGTTGCTGGGAGTAAAAAAGTTACATAGCACCTGTGGTCAGGAGGAGGAATAGTACCCCATGACTGGTGTCAGTGGGGGCGGGAATAGTGTCCAATTGTTTATATCAGTCGGAGGAATTATGCCCCGTTTTGGTGTCAGTTGGAGGAATGCTGCCCAAATGTTTATATCAGTGGGAGGAAATTTTCCCCTACCGTTGGTGTCAGTGGGAGAATAGCTTCCAATTTTTGGTGTGGCAAGAATAGTTTCCAATTTTTGGTGTCTGAGAGGACTAGTGCCCAGTCATTAGTGTTAGTGGAAGAAATAGCACGCAGTTGTTTGTGTTAGTGGGAGGAACAGGGCCCAATTGTTTATATCAGTGCTAGGAAATTTTCCCCCCATCGCCTAATTGTTGGTGTCAGATGGAATTGTTTATAAGTGGGAGGAATAGTGCCTAATTGAATTGGTGTTAGTGTAAGGAATAGTGCCCCATTGTTTATATCAGTGGGAGGAATAGTGCCCCATTGTTTATATCATAGGCATCAATGGAAGCAATTGTGCCCCACTGTCTGTGTCAGTCGAAGGAATGGTGGCTCATCGTTGGTATCAGTGGGAGGATCAGTGCCCCAAGGGCCACATCTAGCCCACAGGCCACAGTTTGGAAACCACTGCTTTAAATGATTCTCCATAATGAAACATAAGCACACAAATTGGTATCCAGGCTTGAGAGGGCAACATCTCTGATATGCTGATATGGCCTTGTGGGAACCAAGGGGGAAAAAAAAAAAGTTTTGAGTGATGCTAGTCTTTAAAACATATCCATTCAATGAATATTGATTGGAAATATTGATAAAAAGATATATCTACAGGAGACTCAGACAAAATCTCCAAAAGGACACTTACCTCCGCTGTGCCGGAAAGTATCTGGATTCACCAATCCAAAATTGCTATTGAAACTGTCATGGAATGGTGTTTGCTTAGGGGCCCCAGCTGGAGGGGACAGTGCCGGTGTGTTCTTGGGAGATGAACTCCTTTCTGTACATGGAAACATAACGTTACAATGAGAACTGCTTATAACTGTGCAAAAAAAAAATCACCAAAGCAACCATTGTCCAAATGTGCAGCTCACCTTTGCTGGTTCGGAAGGTGAGCATAGCGGGCTGCCCCTCACCGGCTGCATTTCTGGCCACCATCAGAACCTCATATAGACTGGATGGTTCAAGCTCCGTCAGAGGAAACTCGTTTTCGCTGGCCGGGACGCGGATGGAATTCCAGGGCCCTGCCACATTGCCGTCATCATCCAACTGCAGAAGTTTAAAAAAAAAAAATTGTGTATTAGTGTCAAACATTTAAATGTGTAAAGAAGTAACTATACTGTGTGGTTCTGTTCACCGGCCCCCTCCTGCAGTGGCATGGGGGGGTAATCAGCAGCATTAGACACTCCGTATTGAATGCTGAACATTCTTCAGCAAGCTAGGATCTTCAGTCTGGCACTGTTCAAGAGCATGTGCAGTGGGATAGGCAAGTGTTAATTGCTTGCTTTGTGGAAATGTCCTATTATCACGTGTCAAACACAAGGCCCATGAGCCTAATCTGGCCTGTCAGGCCATTTAATGTGACCCTCCCACCTCTCCTGCAGCTGTGGCACCTTGACTCCCCCTCCCCCCCTTTTCTTATCTCAGCAGCAGAGAGGAGAACAGGAATCCTCCTGTAGATCCTGTGTCTCTCTGTGTAGCAGCAGCCCCCCTTCATCTCAGCATTCAGCTGACTCCAGCTCTCCTTTGGTCCTCCTCCAGACCCTGAACTTTGTATGTCCCAGATCCACCCCCAGCTTTTTCCCGGCAGCAGCACAAGGTAAGGGGTGCACTGTGATTTAAGGGAAGGTGGGGGACTCCTGACCTCTGATGATGGGGGGGGGGGGGGGTCTTGACATCTGATGTAATGGGGGTGGAGTTGGTTGTTCTGTGCATCTGCTTAGAATTATGAGAATAATACAATACCATGCCAGTTGAAAGTGAGGATCGAACACCACAAGAAACTTTATTGGAGGCTGTCCAGGCAGATCACCATGGAAGAACAATGTTTTGTCTGAACAGACTCCAATAACTTTTCTTGTGGGAGATCGCAGCGGTGTGTGACCTTCCTTTTCAGACTTGCATCATCTGCTACAGGAGTGTGAGGTGGGCTGTGTGCCGGTCTGCTCCGGCCATTCACTGCTTAAGTGTTCAGTTATTACCACAAGCAGTAATAATGGAATGCAGAGGCAATTATTAGGTATGATAAAGAGTAATATATACTTTATATAATCTTACAGATACAATAATAAATAATATAGTGCAGCGCTGTAATGCTAATAGGGATATAAGTAAATAAAAGTAAGTAAAATGAAATAGAAGTTCATAGAGTCCTTTATACAGTAAAAAGTGATTGCAAACGAAAGTTTTGTGAAGACCTCCTCAGCATTAGATAGGTGACTGGAACCAAATAGATAAAATGCGCACTCACCGACCGCGCATTTAAAATGCGCATGTATGCAATTTTATCCAGATAATCAGCCAGACATGCAGATCAGCCAAACGCATAGGTCATCCCTCTCAGGTAAAAACATCAGCCTTGGGTGCAGTAATATGCCTCTAGGTCCAGAGAACCTTCTTGCCCAAGGTGGTAAGGTAGGTTAAGCTCCCTCTCCTGGTTGCAAGGTACCCTAGGAATTGGCTGCTGTAAATCTGGAACCCTCCAACAAGAGGGTCTCCTTGCTGCAGTGCTGTTCCTGATCCCTTCACATGTGTGTTTGTCTGTGCTCATAGGTGACATTCTCTTTAATTTATCTAACTGAACCTTTAACAGTTTTAGATGAATTCAGGAGTACAGATGATATTTCAATTATCTTCTCTAACCAAATAGAGGCAGTCGTCTCCAATATCAAACACTGAGAAGTTGAGGTCTACTTTGATATCAGTGGGTTGTTTCATCTGTGCAATAAATGTAATAAACACGGGTCTCCTATAAATCGCACCACTTCTGCTAAAAATTCATAAAGGCGTATCAAATTATTTCTGAGTTTACTAATACAAAACACTTGCTAAGCACGGCCTGTTATTGATCACATCTGAACAGATACAATATAATGATTATTGTAGACTGAAATCACAAACTATTAATTTAAACTGGCATTTAAAAAATTTAAATCAGCCATTTTCACAAGCAAGAGAGTGCTCACCTTTCTATAGCGCACAAAGTACGCGTTTATAGGCAGACCGCCATCTCGTCCCGATCTCCACACTAAGTAGTACACGTCCGGTTTGGTGGTCTGTGGTGGGCTGAGTATGATGGGTGCCTCTGGGAGCAGAGCGCCATTGAATGGCTTGTCGGTAGGTGGAAAGTTGGGATGAGCGGTAGTCCGAGTAAGGCCTGGTGAACTGGTGTCTGAACGCACAGTGCTGACCTCGTAGGGAACTGAGGGGATAAAATATAATAATTACTAAATCACATAAACAGGCAGGCATTCTGTGACCTTAAACCTGTGCTAGCTGGAACTTGTACATAGAATGGAGATGGGCCCTCTATTTAAGCCCATGCCAGAGTTCACCCTGTAATTCTTGACAAGGCCCTAGCAATGATCAGTCTCTGTGCTAAGCAATGATCAGTCCCTGTGCTAAGCACTGGGCCATTCACACTCATGCATTTAAATGGCACCCCAACACACTGATACGGTAGTGGATAATGCACGTACACAGCTCATTTTTGGCTTTGTTGTGGTGAGTTGGCTGCCCATTCAAAATGAATGGGCTGTCTTCATGCATGCTTGGGAATGGGCACTAACAGAAGATCCAAAGCCATTTTTTTTTCCAAATTCTTTATCAAAAAGGCAGGCTCCATGATCAAGACAACAAGAGGCAGTGGTACAGACAGTAACAGTCCGAGCAGGCTTCCTACAAAATAGGGCCAAGAATGGCTACAATTCCATAGACCAGAGAGGTCATGCCCTAGGTAATGTAGATGATGCTAACCGGGACACAGAAAGGAACTGCATGGTTTCTGAATAGGAGAGGGGAGCCAAAGCCAATTGTTCCCTACAGGAAACAACCCGTTATGCTTTTTTTTTTAGTCATCTATGAAGAAAGATATACCCCAAATCAGTGACATACCATGGGTGGGGCCACAGGGGTGGTTGAAAAATTCTTAGGTGCAAAATCATACCTCCCAACAGGGACTGTCCCGGGATTTGTACTAGAAAGGGCCAGAGGATTTTTGGTTGGGAGGGGAGTTTGCCGAGATTTGTGCTGGGGGGGGGGGGGGGGGGGGTAAGTTACAGCAGAGATTTTCCTACTATGTATTATATATATTCTGGTGGAAGGGACTCGGAGCATAAACAGTCTACAGGTTAGGGGGTACAATACTTGCCTTGCCCCGGGAGCTGACAACCCATGCTATGCCACTGCGTTAACTTCCTGTCTTGTCAACTGGAAGTGAGAGGAAATCTCCCCAAAGTGAGGGGAAATCTCCCCAAAGTGAGGGGAAATCTCCCCAAAGTGAGGGGAAAAAATCTCTCCAAAGTGAGAGGAAATCTCTCCAAAGTGAAGGGATATCTCTCCAAAGTGAGGGGAAATCTCTCCAAAGTGAAGGGAAATCTCTCCAAAGTGAAGGGAAATCTCTCCAAAGTGAGGTTAAATCTCTCCAAAGCAGGGGCGGACTGATCATTTGGAATCTTGGGTACTGCCCGAGGGCCCAGGGTCAGTAGGGGGCCCCATGAGATGCCCCTGGTACTTTTTTTTCATAGGCTTTTTTGCATTTGGGCAAGGACACAGGGGCCACATGATCAGCTATTGCCCGGGGGCCCCATGAGTTGTCAGTCCGCCCCTGCTCCAAAGTGGAGAGAAATCTCTCCAAAGTGAGGGGAAATCTCCACTCAGACAGTTGCCACTGGAATAAGTATTGCCATTAAAAGATTTTGACTATTATTTTGGATTATCCTTAACTTTTGGTCTTAGTGATAGTGGTCACCAGGACAAAACAGAGAAAGGGGAACAGCGCCAACAATTAACAGGGGGTTCCAACCCCTCACCACTCTAAGCAATACACATTTTGGATTAGACACACCTCGAGCCTGCCCTCAGAGTACAGATATTTTGTACAACTGGACTATAATGGGTGTGACTGGATTTAGATTTTATATAAGAAGCACTTTTTATTTTCTTGTCAACAGGCATATAATAGAGGAGCGTTGTTGTATATTTTATTATGAGCTCACACAGACAAGTCGGAGGAGAGGTACATGACCAATGTAAGGGAAACAAGCAGTAATGCGGCTCCCCGCTGTGGGCTGAATGAGAAGCTGTGAAAATAGCAGCAGCACACAGAGGGGCCAGTATGAAGTGTCCTATAAAGGATGCCTGGTAACTTTTCCAGAGGAGAGTTCAAGAAGTGCACCCGGGAGGACGTGGCATCCAAAGTGCATGGAAGAGCTCATTGTTATTAAAAGATATTTACAATCTGAACCATAGATACCCACAGAATATACATTTACAATGCATCGGCGGAGCGCAGAATGCGGCATTGGTAACGCAGATAATAGAATATGTAACATATGGGTCATAAAGTTATATCGTTTATAAACCAAGCAGATTAAAATTTCAGGTTTTCAAAAATGGTGCAGAGATTCAGACCGCTATTATCACACACAGGGAGCAGCCTGGATTTCCAACAATGCCACACTGCTTCAATTAACAGCAACACTTAGGGAGTTAGAGCAGTGTGCAGGGAGCAGTATCAAGCTGCTGGAGACCAGGGCCAGTGCTGACCGGAGCAGTGTGCAGGGAGCAATATCAAGCTGCTGGAGACCAGGGCCAGTGCTGACTGGAGCAGTGTGCAGTTGGGATTGTCAAACTGTTAGAGACTAGGGCCCCTGCTTACTGGAGTAATGTGTGTGTGTGTGGGGGGGGGGTAATGTTGAACTGCTGGAGACTGGGGCCCCTGCCTAATGGAGTAATGTGTGGGGGGCAGTGTTGGACTGCTGGAAACTGGGACCCCTGCTTACTGGAGTAATGTGTGTTGGTTAGTGTTGGACTGCTGGAGACTGGGGCCCCTGCTTACAGAAGTAATGTGTGGGGGGTAGTGTTGAACTGCTGGAGACTGGGGCCCCTGCTTGCTGGAGTAATGTGTGGGGGGTAGTGTTGAACTGCTGGAGACTGGGGCCCCTGCTTGCTAGAGTAATGTGTGGGGGGTAGTGTTGAACTGCTGGAGACTGGGGCCCCTGCTTTACTGGAGTAATGTGGGTTGGCTAGTGTTGGACCGCTGGAGACTGGGGCCCCTTCTTACTGGAGTAATGTGTGGGGGGGTAGTGTTGAACTGCTGGAGACTGGGGCCCCTGCTTACTGGAGTAATGTGGGTTGGCTAGTGTTGGACTGCTGGAGACTGGGGCCCCTGATTACTGGAGTAATGTGTGGGGGGGGGGTAGTGTTGAACTGCTGGAGACTGGGGCCCCTGCTTGCTAGAGTAATGTGTGGGGGGTAGTGTTGAACTGCTGGAGACTGGGGCCCCTGCTTACTGGAGTAATGTGGGTTGGCTAGTGTTGGACTGCTGGAGACTGGGGCCCCTGATTACTGGAGTAATGTGTGGGGGGGGGGTAGTGTTGAACTGCTGGAGACTGGGGCCCCAGCTTAATGGAATAATGTGTGGGGGGCAGTGTTGGACTGCTGGAAACTGGGGCCCCTGCTTACTGTAGTAATGTGTGTTGGTTAGTGTTGAACTGCTGGAGACTGGGGCCCCTGCTGATTGGCACAGTGTACAGGAAGTAGTGTCAACACTGCTATAGACCGGGGCCCCTGCTTGTCTGTAAAAGAAGTGGCCTGACTCTCCAGTGTGCTGCTAAAACAGAGTACTTTAACCCTTGCCGCAGCACTTAATATGGAAAAATACACATTAAGGGGAGCATATTTATTACTCTGTATGTCACCTGAATTCATTACAGTAATAAATAGGAAAGCTCTGACTGGGCCTTAAACACTAAAATATAATGACAACATGTTATAATGAAGCAAATATGATTCTGATACTTATTTAGCTGACAACCTATTACAGTGTAGAATTAAAAGTTCATCACAGAGAAAGATAATGAACGCCTATGAGAAGTAGCTTAAAATGGAAGTAAATGTGAACTCCCTCCTAGATTGTAAGCTCCAAAGAGCAGGGCCCTCGATCCCCTCATGTTTTGCATTGTATTGGTATTGTTCTGTCACATGTTCTGTCCCCCTTTGTAATGTACAGCGCTGAGCGAACTATTGGCGCTTTATAAATACTGTATAATAATAATAACTAGAAGTGTTGTTCAAATGTTGCCTCCCCTCCTCCTCTGTATACTGCATGGCCTCAATGCAGCCTAGAACTCATTTATAAAGGCCATACAGTATAGGTCGGAGGAGGGGCAGGCAGTATTTGTAATGCCTAGAATTAGCCTTCACGTACACTTAAAGTTATTTAGTTGAGATCAACTGAGAGCTTAACTTACTAAAGCTGGTTCACTCAGAATCTGGTGCAGCTGTGCATGGCAGCCAATCAGCTTCTAACCTCAGCTTGTTCAATGAAGCTTTGACAATAAAACCTGGAAGCTGATTGGTTTCTATGCAGAACTGCACCAGATTCTGAGTGAACCAGCTTTAGTAAATAAACCCCACTGTGTTGATTGCGGGGATCTGTCAGTCTTTTTTTCTTTAATAAAAAAAAAAAGTGAACATGTATACCCTGATTTAGGCAACATACTTGTGGGCTGAGTGAGTAGACTAGATCCAAATCAACTGAAAGGCTTAATTCTCTCAAATATTTATCCTGACCAAAAAAATAAATTAATAAACTGTGACATTTTTGCTTCCACAGTTTCTGCTTTCTACATCATGCGGCTCTGCACTGTGCAACCTTTTTGAGCATTTCCTTACTCCCCATTCAGAGGGACCAAAACTTCTTCTTCAATCAGATTGGAGGAGGGGGAGGAACTCCGTTGAGTGTCCTGAGAAGGCCTCCACTAATGTACACATTATACTGTAATCTCATTAAATTATACCAAAGCCTACGTATATGATTTTAGCGGAGTCTTTAATTAAACTCAACAAACACAACCAGGGGCGGACTGACCATTTGGAAACTCGGGCACTGCCTGAGAGCCCGGGGTCAGTAGGGGGCCCCATGAGATGCCCATGGTACCTTTTTCATAGGCTTTTTTGAGTCTGGGCAAGGACACAGGGGCCCCATGATCCCCTAATGCCCGGGAGCCCCATGAGTTGTCAGTCCTCCCCTGAACACAACAGAATCCATCAGGTCACAGTGACTCAAGCAACTGGAGAAAGAAGAAAACAAGGTCGTCTTTTTTGGAGAAGGCCACAGCTCCTATGGCAGGGACTTACCAACAGTCAGGGTGGCTTCCTCCTGGATGAAACCATATTCATTGGTAGCCTCACAGATATATTTCCCAGCATGCTTCATTGTAACAGCAGGGATGTACAAGGAGCTGGTTCCTGGATGAGACATGATCACATGTAGCGGATCTTGGATGGGGGTGTCTGCCATCTTGGACTGTAATGCCTTACGGGGTTTAGGCCGAAGGATCTGGGAGGGATGACTGCTGATTGGTCCGAGGGTGTCATACCAGCGGATGGAAGGGGTGGGGTTTCCGGTGGCATTACAGGTTAAAGTGACCCAATCTCCAATCACTACGCTGACACTTGTAGGCGGGGACACAATAGCTGGTCTGGAGCCTGAACCTACCAGAAAAAAAAAAAATTCTCACATTATTCTAAATACATTTTCACATTTCCATCTGTGTGTGCGGTCATTTATTGTGGTTAAAGAGGACTCCATGCTTAACCACTGCAAGTCCGGGCACTTTACCCGCTTCCTGTCCAGGCCAATTTTCAGCTTTCAGCGCTATCACATTTTGAATGACAATTGCGCGGTCGTGCAACACTGTACCCATATGAAATTTTTAGCATTTTTTTTTAAACAGACAGAACTTTCTTTTTGTGGCATTTATTCACCACTGGGATATTTATGTTTTTGCTATATAAATGAAAAAGGCCAAAAATGTTTTTTAAAAAAGTTTTTCTTAAAAAATTTTGCAAATAAATAATCTTTCTTCATAAATCTTGGCCAAAACATATTCATCTATCTTTTTAGTAACAAAATAAGTAAATAAAATAACCAAAAATTATAATTTTTCAAAAATATTTTTTTTAATTTTTATATATTATTATTTATGCTTTTTTTTTTTCTTTTTACATACTGTCACCCTAGCAGTACAGTATCACCATAGGGACACTGTACTACTTGTGGGGGGTGATGAAGATTTTTTTTTTCTTTTTTTACACTGATTGCTTTTACACCCATAAAGGCTGTAAAAGCAATAATTTCTCCTCATTTCATTGAGAAATACTGTGTGAGCTGTGATTGGTCACAGCTTGTCACATAGTACAAGGCTGTTGTGAATAGCCTTGTACCATGTGACTTCTGTGACCATTCACAAATTTCACAAGTAGTAAGCAATGTCAGGAAGTGACATCTTGTTTACTACTGTTCATGTGATCACTGATCAGCCAATCAGTGATCACATGAATCAGGACCTCACACAGAGGTCCCGTACAGCAATCTGTGTTCCTCCGGACACAGCGGGCACCGATCGCGGTGCTGCGCGCTCCCTGGGAGCATGCACAGGCAATGGAAGCGGGGGGACGTTTACAAACGCCCCCCCGCATTGGCAGCGCTCCCGTGTGGCCAGACGGGAAGAGGTTAAAAGTTAACCTTTTGAACCAGGTTGCTCTGAGTTTGTCTTAAAGGCTACGTTCATTTTTAGAACATATTACACATTACTCCCGTACTTAGAGGGTAACGTAACATGTTCCAGCACCTACCTCACTGATAGTGGATGTAAGGCTTTGCAGACTCCTGGGGGGGAAAAATAATAAATGCATATCTCTTGAGAAAAAAAGAATTGGTCAGATCTTCCCATCACAACTATCACCTTGGGGTCTTACTTCTACGGTTACACGGGTGATCCCACACCTCTGGTTTAAGAACCCCTGATGACCACAAGAAGCCGACCAAGGAATTCAGGCACATCTCATTAAAAGTGAAAGTGTAGGCAGATACATTAATCTCCTTTAATTCACCAATGTAATAATTCTACTTATAAATGGTATCATAATCTGTCTTTGTACTAGCCCCCTGTAATATCCTAGACATCAGTGCTCAGGCCTGGAGAGGCGGGGGCAGCGTTATAACAAATGGAGCTTTCTAATTGGAGGAAAGAATACAAAAATGACCTCATCAGTGAGCTGATCCTCATTCACTATCCAATCACAGCCTTGACCTATCTGTACTGATTTGACTGCAGTGGAAAACGTAAATGGTCAGGGCTCTGTATAATGTATATTATTAAGTGGCTGAACATAATTACACATTTCACACATATAATATGCATTCCAGCTGTGTATAAAGCCATTTTCCTAGAATTACCAGCATCTACTGGACTCTGAAAATCCACTTTTAGATGGAGGGACCCATTAACGTTTATCAAATGCCCAAATATATTCCCTTTTTAGTTTTGGATAGAGTGGAGTTTGTGTCGCCATTAGGGAGATTCATTCACTCTACTGGCCATTGTCAAATCTAATCTAGGAGACTCTCTCTCACTTCCTGCTGCATCTACAGGACGGGTAAATCTCCACAAATGGCACACACAAAAAAAGAAAAAACGGACAGGGGTTTTAACAATTTACCTCAAAATTAAACAAAAAAAAAATGAAAATTATAACTATCAAAATTAAAAAGAAGAAATTTTGACTTTAGATAAATACTTTAACTGATAAAAAATAAAAATGCTCAACCTGTTTGTATATGGAGCCTGGCAGAGGCCTGGACCACACCAACTCCATTGTCTGCCATACACTGATACATCCCAGAATCCTCTTCAGCCACATTGCTGATCTGTAGTGTTTTCCCCTGTGGGTGCCGGCGGGATGATGGATAGATGCTCACGGTGTTGTGTAGCCAAGTGATATTTGGAGTTGGATTACCCCGGGTCTCGCAGGTAAATATGACGTCACTGCCTGCTGGTGCAGTCTGGTCCTCAGGGGCCCGGGAAATCAGTGGAGCTTCTGCAAAGACAGATGAACAATCAGAAATCCAGGAGAAAAGACAAATCAAAGGAAAGTCTTTACAATTTTTCTGACCAAAGCAATGGACTCCAGCCATGAAGCACAGCCTGGTTATGGGGTCCATAGACCAAGGTTTGCATCAGATAAATCTAATTTTAGGAAACTGGTATGCAGGCTGTAGAAGTAAACACTTCATGCTGACCAACATTTACAGGACTTCAGGTGTCACCCTAATCCAAGAATGCAAGTGTACAATACGAACACACACGTTCCTGCGTTAAAAATGACTGTGTGTATAAGTGGGTGCTGCAGCGACCGTCGGCTGGAACCGAACAGAATCGGCAAGGGAGAATGTCACCAGCACACCGAGGATCACCAATATGGGTCCAGAAGTTTTAATGAACAATCACATAGTTACAGCAAGACGTTTCGGAGTCTCGCAGGACCCCTTCATGCGTCACACGCCTGATGAAGGGGTCCTGCGAGACTCCGAAACGTTGCCTTGCTGTAACTATGTGATCGTTCATTAAAACTTTTGGACCCATATTGGTTATCCTCGGTGTGCTGGTGACATTCTCCCTTGCTGATCCTAATCCAAGAGCCACATTATGGCTTTGTACTGTGAACCAATTCAAGCACAAATGTTTATTAATCTGTTACATGAGCTTTCTGTGCATTCCAGTACGTTCCTTGTGCAGTTTAATCACGTGCATTTTAAAGCCGAGCTCCAGGAAAGGTGGGCTGTAATGCCCAGCTGCCACATATATGCATCCGAGGAGGAATGATGTTGTGTGCTGGCAGCACTGAGCACCAATCACAGTGGTCACATGATACAGATGCCTACCAGGCATTAAAGCCTACTTCAAGGGCTGCCAGTAAGCGTCATTAATAGCCCTTCTCCTTGAAAGCTGGCAAAGGTCGCCAGCCTTGTGCAAATGTTAAACTGCACTGGTTAGAGAACCACCTCCTCTGCATAAAGACTATTTTACAGAGGGTCAGCATGTGACACCTATATGGTCCTTAAGTTAGCAAGCAGCTGTCCTGGCTATTCCAGTCTCCGCCCTCCAATATAAAAAAGGACAGCTGTCACTGGATGTTCACAGTCAGGCTGATGTGTAACACTTCAGGATGGGATAGAAGGAAAATCCAGTTCTTAGCCTGCCACATCAGGCAGAAAATTAAATATTGGGCAGCACAGTGGATAAATGGTTAGCACTTCTACCTGGAAGTACTAGGGTTGTTGGTTCGAATCCCAACCACAGCACCACCTGCCTGGAGTTTGCATGTTCTCCTTGTGCCTGCATGGGTTTCCTCCGGGTACTCTGGTTTCCTTCCACATTCCAAAGACATGCTGGTAGGTTAGTTGGCTTCTCTCTAAATTGGCCCTAGTATATGTATGTATGTATGAATGCGAGTTAGGGACTTTAGATTGTACGCCCCTTGAGGGTTAGGGACTGATGTGAATGTACAATATATGTGTAAAGTGCTGTGTAAATTGATGGCGCTATATAAGTACCTGAAATAACATATTACATTGGTGGTTATGGGCTACATAGCCACTCAGCTTACCTCCTGTGCTACCAAGGATAGGCACACGAGGGCGCCAGCTACTTTCGGCTTCCAGAGACAAACAAGCATTATAAAATTACCCAAAGAGCACCAGAGGCATCTCATCACACTGAGCAATGGTGTGCAAAACATCACACGGATTGGGGTTTTTTCTGCCATCTGTGTCCCGTTGGGGGTATTTCTTGTCCCATAGCCAAAACAAGAAGAGAGAAGAACTCCTTTCAAAGTGAGGGAATCCCTGGTTGTCACCAGTGTCCTCGCTGGAAGATTTCCCCTCTATTTCTAATCTGGTGACAACCAAACATTTGGGATTTTCCTTCCTGCTCAGTGATATTGGTAAAAAGGAAAAATAGAGGGGGTGAATCTCCCTAACTGGGGCACAAACAGCAATGAAAACCTGACGGGGTATAATCCCTCTCCACTCTTAACCACTTGACACTACAGGCCAATTCTGACACTTCTCACATACATGTAAAAATCTGCTTTAAAATTGTGCTAGAAAATTACTTAGAACCCCCACACATTATATACATTTTTAAATCAGAAATCCTGGAGAATAAAATGGTGGGTTTTGCAATTTTTTGGTCACATGGTATTTGTGCAGTGATTTTTCAAACTCAATTGTTTTTTGAAAAATGAATTTTAGTGCACACCAATAATACAATACCCAATTTTTGGGGAAAATATAAAAGATGATACACCGAGTAAATAGATACCCAACGTATCATGCTTTTTAACTGTGCTCGCCCATGGAACGGCACCAAACCACAGTACTTAAAGATTTCTACAGGCAACGTTTTAAAAGCCTATACGGGTTTCCAGTTTAGAGTTGCACAAGACGTCTGGCACTAGAATTATTGCTCTTGCTCTGACATTCGCGACGATACCTCACAAATGAAATCACTGTTTATATATGCATGCAAGACTTCCGCATGCCTTCACATCTGCACGTGAGCACGGGGAAAGGGGAGTACTTTACATTTTTTTTATTTTACTTTGCATTTTTTACACTGCATCTTTAATTTTTTTTTTTTTTAAGATTTTATTGCGATCACAAGGAATGAACAACATTCCTTGTGATAGCATGGGCCATGACAGGTCCTCTTTATAGAGAGGAGATCTGGGGTCTATTAGACCCCAGATCTCTCCTCTAGCCTCCAAAGCATCAAATCAAACCCCGAGCTTGGTTGGATCACATGCTTGTTTACGTGAGACAGAAACAGGAAATGGTTAGATCCTGGTCACTGCCGGTTTCTGAGGTTGCAGTGGGAGGAAAGACATCCGTCCCTTTCACGGTGTCTCAGGAACAGGATGGTGCCTGTCGCATTGTTACCGGGCTCCCTGAGGCAGCGGTTGCAGGACGGGGAGTGGGACCCCCTTCCACTGCATGCAAAAGTAATCTAGCAATCCCGATCCTAAAAAATGATGTCTCGGTCATCGCTGCAGTGATGACCAAGATATCACCCCTCCCATGCAGCAACGTACCAGTATGTTGCTGGTTGGCAAGTGGTTAAAGCTAAAAACTCAGGGGAAATGTAAAATCCACCCCATAATTCAAGGTTAAATGCTCATTTTTATCCCGGGTACCATTAAGAAACAGGTTTTCCTACCTTATCCCCCCCTCCCGCAGGCTCCTTCTCTGTGTGCAGCTGGTCCCCCAAAGACATTTCTCTTTGGTACTCCATCCATCGGTCACACTACAACATCCTCCTGTATAAAGCAGACCAGCATTCCTGCGTTGTAAATAAGGAGGCGAAGGGCCTGCCTACAGCCCAGAAGGGAAAGAAGAATGTTGGCTGCTGGGGGTAGGGCAACGCTGCTTTTTAATGGTACCCTAGACAAAAATGAGCTTTTAAACCTCACAGTGTGGGGAAAGAGAGGGGGTGTCCCACTGCAAGGAAGTTTTTCAGCTTTGAGTCAAAATAGGCAGACAGGAGAAGGAAAGCTAGGTGCTATGTGGCACTAATCAAGCACAAACCTCTGGCTGGAGTTCCACTTTAAGTCTGACCAGAGTTTCACATATATCTTATAAAAACAAACCTAAAAAGAGAACGGAGTCCCTTTAAGACTCTGCGTGTGAAAAGTGAAATTCAGTCTACAGGAGCTACGAGGAACCTTGGGGAGAGGGGTGGTCCTTCATCTAAAATACACATAATAAATATGTAAGTCACACGTATGTAAGAAAGCAGTCTATATGCCAAGAGGCCCAGGCCTCGGGGACCGTCACATCTGGAGGTGACACTTTTCCGGCAGAGTGCGAGGTGACATGGGCGGAACAGAGGGCGCAATTTTTCAGACCCATTCACAGAAAACAGCGTCCCCGGGCGCAGGAGGAAATGTGGTAATTGATGAAACCAAGACGTGGTATATATGGCCAGCATTAAGAGATGTCTGTACACCATTAACAGAAGGGCTCAGCTCCGCAGACACCATGCCAGCAGGGCCTTACCGGCTCGGCATCCATCAGCGAGACACCTTGTCTAACATAATCGAGAGCTTGTTGTGGTGGCACCAGGAGCGTGCCAAGAGACATGGGTGTTGTATGCTGCCAGCTGCACTGACTTCCCATGCCAGAGGAATGAGTGTTCCTATTACATAAGCCTGGAAATAAATTCAGATAATTGCAATGTTCAAACCACAGCCGTTCCCGACATACACCAGGGCTGGCGAAGAACTCAAATCTAATTAAAATGCAGCAAATTGTCCAAGAGGACCTGTCACTGAAGCTGAACTCTGGGATTAGCACATAGGGGGAGAGTTACTAAAACTGGAGCCCTCAGAATCTGGTGTAGCTGTGCATGGGAGCCAATCAGCTTCTAACTTCAGTTTGTTCAATTACAGTAAGCTTAGAAGATGATTGGTTACAACTTTGCGCAGCTGCCCCAGATTCTGTGTGCACCATTTTTGTAAATCTCCCCCACATTTTCTAAATACAAGAGTCATGTGTATTCTTACTTGGATCTGTGCAGTAATCCAGTGTGAAACGTTGCCGCTATGTGAGAATTTCCTGGAATAAAGACCGCTCACTGCTGCTCTCTCTCCTTGTGCAGGGTGGCTGGTCTTGATTCCACCCCCCTCCTGTAGTTTTCTGCAGGCAGCCTGTAGTAGGTGGAGTCTTCTGGGTCCCTCCTACAGCTCTGCTCTCTGCACAGGCCATGCGTAGCACAGTTTTAAAGTGATTATAAATGTAAAAATTAAAAAATATAAATAAATAACAAACAGATTTATACTTACCTGCTCTGTGCAATGGAAATGCACAGAGCTGCCCCGAATCTCCTCTTCTCAGGTTGCTCACCGGCGCTCCTCCTCTCCGGGGAGTTCCCCATATAAAGCCACTTCCTATGGGGGCACTCGTGTGGGTTCGCTCCTGAGCTTTGATGCCTACTTCTTTAGACACAAACAGCATGGCTCAGCCCCGCCCCCCAATCCCTAATCACTGGGTTTGATTGACAGCAGCAGAAGCCATTGGCTCCTGCTGCCTCAGCAAAACCTGCGAGACCAGGAATTGAGGGAGTAGAGCTTCTACAGACGGGTACACCAATGGATCGAGCGAGTGCTCAGGTAAGTAAGTATGGGGGGTGAGGGGGGAATACTATTACCTAAACATTGTTTACCTTAAAGCAAGGAATGCATTAAGGTAAAAAATATTTAGACTTTAACCACTTCCAGTCCGGACACTTTCACCCCCTTCCTGTCCAGGCCAATTTTCAGCGCTATCACACTTTGAATGACAATTGCACGGTCATGCAACAATGTACCCATATGAATTTAGCATTTTTTTTGAGACAGATACAGCTTTATTTTGGTGGTTATTTTTCACTGCTGGGATTTTTTTTTTTTTTTTTGCTATGTAAATTAAAAAGTCCAAAAATTTTGAAAAAAAAAGTGTTTTTCTTATAACATTTTGCAAATAAATAGTATTTCCTCATAAATCTTGGCCAAAATGTATTCTGTTATATTTTTAGTAAAAAATAAATAAATAACCCAAATTAGTTTATAACCAAAATGATAAATTTTTAAACATTTTTTTTAAATTTGTTTTTATATTTTTTTTCTTTATTATTATTTTTTACATACTGTCACCCTAGCAGTACAGTGTCACCATGCTGACACTGTACTACTTGTGGGGGGTGATGAAGATTTTCTTTTTTTTTTACACGGATTGTTTTTACACCCATAAAGGCTATAAAAGTAATCATTTCTCCTTCTCTCTAGCTGCATTCTTGCAGCCATTGAGAACTACTGTGTGAGCTGTAATTGGTCACAGCTTGTCACACGGTACAAGGGTGTTGTGAATAGCCTTGTACCATGTGACCTCTGTGATCATTCACAGATTTCACACGTAGTAAGCAATGATGTCACAAGTGACATCTTGCTTACTACTCTGCATGTGATCACTGATTGGCCAATCAGTGATCACATGATCGGGACCTCATACAGAGGTCCCGTCCGACGATCGGTGTTCCACTGTGTCCGGAGGACACAGCGGGCACCGGATCGCTGTGCTGCGCACTCCCAGGTAGCGCGCACAAGGAGGGTGCGGGGAGGCCGTTTATAAAAACAGCCACCCGACCCTGGACTGCCACCGTCCGGCCGTTTTTATATACAACGGCCGGACGGGAGGTGGTTAAACATCACAATTTGCAAGAACCAATGAGGCATTCCTAAGGCTGAAGACTGCAATAACAAATGGCAAGTAACATATGAAGGTCCTGTAGTGTACGTGGCCAGCTATGAACTCAAATGCAGCTTGATATTGGGTCCCTACGGCTGTAGTGGTGACAGCAGAGCAAAGGATTATGCAGATTTTCTTTTTCCTTTGGTGACACCCTGTCAAAGGCTATAACTATTGACATGGCAAAGACTTCCATTATAACATTGGAGGGATGAAAAAAAAAACATAAATCACATAGAAAAGGGCAGAAGTTCATAAGTTGACATTTTTCTCTTCGGGCCTGGAGGACAGAAGAAGACCGTGATGGCAGTTCTGTACTGACCTACAACAATGACTATGTAGTTCATGCGAGCCACTTCCTGGGTTTCATTGGCCAATAGGCAAGAGTAGTTCCCAGCATCCAGTCTTTCCACAGTCTTGATCACAAGGTTAGTATGTAACAATGTCCTTCTATTATCTGTGACACTCTGCCCATCTTTATACCAGTGAAACATGGGGGGCAGAGACCCCTCCGGCTGCACATTCCAGAGTCACGGTCTCATTCAGATGTACAGACACATGATGAGTAAGGACTGGTTGTACGGGGATGAAATCAGAGTGGGATGAACCTGCCGCATAAAGGAAAACAGATTATTAAGGCTGAGCTGTGAGCAGATAAAAGGAAAAAAACAAATCACTTCCTTACAACTATGGCAACAGTACTCAGTATTTCACTGCAGACGTCTACACAGACCATGGGGCCAAGTTTCAGGCAGCCTGTTGCATTGGATATGGTGTCTCTAAATTCTTTACTGCACTAAGACACTTGAAGGGTTGGTTTTGGACTGTGCAAAACACAATCATACAGAATATTTCTAATAATCAAACCTATACTCACCTGTAACAGCGAGTTTGTATACAGAGGGGCTTATCTTCCGCTCATGTGTGACTGGGTTATACACGGCACATCTATAGGGCCCCCGATCCTCCAACGTCACATTTACTATCTGAAGGTTTCCAGAGGGTAGGATGAAGTACTTATCTAATAAAAGAACATGTACGTTATTTTCTGACCAATAGGAGACGTTGCATGATTAAAGCCCAACTCTAACCCACAATTTTTTTCAGTTTTGGACAGAATGAGTGAAGGGTTAGAATCTCTATCTACTGCTATGTTCCCTATAGTGTAATTTCCATCAATTCTTGTTCCCTGGGTGAAGGGTTAGAAACCCCAGATCTCTACTGCAGTTTATTTCCCCCCCCTCATTTCCTACCCATATGACACCCTATATTTCAGGGTATGACATGGTCTTATACCTGAACAAGAAGTAAGGGAAAATCTCCCAAAAAGGGGACACAAACATCAATAAAACAAGCTAACGTAGGGTCTAAGCAGCAAAACCTTTGGAAGGAATCTGGCTTTGCCATTTCAGTACCACTTCTTGATATAATGCCGGCTAAATGTTAAAGTGGTTGTAAACCCTTCCATATACTGAAGTGACTGGCCTCTGTGATGCACAGAGATGAAACAAATCCTCCTACATAAGATGTATCTGCCATCTGTTCCCTACATCCACTCTAACTGCAGAATTTACACAGGATCTCTCAGCTCTGAAAAGCAGGGAACGGGGAGCTGCGGTAACACTCTGCAGAAGAGCTCTGGGAGCTGATACACAGAGATAAAACAAATCTTCCTTCATACATTGTACCTGTTTATCTGTAGTATTCACTTCTCTATAGCCGTTCAAAATCCAGAATTTATACAGCTTGTCTGAGCTTTCAGAAATCAGGAGGCAGGGAACTGAAATTATACTTTGCAGAGCTCAGTGAGAGCTGATTGGAGGGAAGGGAAACACCCCCTTCATACAGCACACAGGAACAGAGCTGAGGCTGTGCCCTCTCCTGTTGCCATTTTTTCTCTCGGTGTCAGCAACACTTGCCAGGAGTGACTCATGCAGATAGCAGAAGAATGAGGGCAGCAGAAAGAAATGACACTTTGTGTTTTTAATTGAGACAAATACACACTATAGAGGGATATGCTTTGTTCATATTTCATGTCTGAGGTTTACAATCACTTTAATTATTTCAACCAAAAAGATTTAATAAATGCGGGTGTTGTATATCTTGGGTCTAGACAGAGTCGTACCTGGTAACATGGTGCATATAATAACTGCTCAGAGAGTCTCCATTGTAGATACTTATTTTTATTTACATGTTGAGTCTTAGGCTAGCTATACACTATACAATTTTCTGTCCAATTTCTGCCCAATTTCCTTTAGATTTACCTTCAACTATGTAGTGCGAGGGCCTGCCTAATTGGATACAATTGAAAGTGTTGTTTTGGTTTGACCTCGTATTATATGGTTTTTGGTAAATCTAAAGTTAAATTCTCAAGAAAATTGTATAAATGTATGGCCACCCTTAGGGTACTGCGTGATTGGTACATAGACAAAATAAGCCATCGTGGGAATCACTCACCGGTAGATTTGTCCAGCCATTTCCCTCTCACACGGTAATGGATCTGAGCAGGCGGAACACTGGGTGGAATGCCACATGTTATAATGGCGGTGCTTCCCTCTTCAGCCTCCACATTGACTCTAGAGGCTAAATCAAAGTCACCCAGATCTGCAGGACACAATAGTAAATATCAGTGGAGAACTGCCCAATGCCAATTCGAAGATTACCTATGGTCTTGCTATTTAGTGGTAGTATGTCACATGTTTGGGTAGAGACATTTCTCTACTAATCCATGTAGCTTCTTCAGTGCCAAGAGTACTTAGATGAGTATTGGAACATCATCAGCATTACAAAACAAGTCCAGCAGAATGTGACCAACTACAACTAGGCATAGCAAGACCTGGAGAACCTTCACAGATATATGGCTTGGCTATGTAGTTCAGCTATACATGTGAAAAAGATCAGCTTAAAAGTGAACCTGTGCCTCACTCATTGAGGGCAAAGCAACAAATCTACTTTAATGGTTGCCCTACCAGCTGAACATTCAACCTTTTCCGCCATCAAGTAGGAATGAGCAAAGGCATGTTTGGATCCTAGTCTAAATCCATTTCAGCCTGCCAGGAAGCTGTCACTGTACTGAGCCAATCATAAACGGCTGAGGCAATCCCCACATCACAGCTACATGTATACATGTCTCTTGTACAAGTGCAGCTGCAGGACGGGGAATGGATTGGCTCAGTACAGGTGACAGCTCCCTGGCAGGTTCGCTCAGGCGGGTTCAGTTTAGGATCCGAACAGGCGTGAGCTTATCCCCACTAACAAACATAAAAAAGATACAAGCAAGTCTGCTCATGTGTTCAGATCAACTATTTTGCACATCAGCAGACTTGTCAGCTAAAAGGTTATGTTCACGGAGATTCCATTTGAAGTGCCCCCAGTAACCAAATTCCCCATATAAACAGTATCAGGGAAACATCCTTCAGTCACTTAAAAGCATGACGAAATAGTTACTTTGTGGTGTGCAAGGAAATTAGAATAAAGAGAATACAGAAATAGAAGGTTTAATAAACAAACACTCTAGCAGGACATATCTAGTCTACAACCTAAAATGACACTATATAATGGTTTAAAAAAATACTATTCCTAACTCAAAAAAGTACTTTCTATTGCTCTCAGCCTTTAAATTCCTTTTTTTTTAGCTGCTGTGATCTGACTTCCTGTTACAGGGTGGCTACGGTCATTCTTCATGTTTTTCCACTGTATGTAGGAACATAGGCACCCTCTTTTGCCCATTCCTGAGATAGACTAGGGACTATTCACTATGAGATTTGTAGTGTACATAGAGCAAATATTGTGCACTCCTCGTTCCAAAGAGAAGAATTGAAGAGCAAAAGGAGAGGTTCCGGAGCTCACAAAGGATGTTACATGAGGCAAAAACATGAAAAAAGATACAGGGCCATAAAGTAAAAAAATGTGTATAATTTTGTTTTTTTGGAGAAGGATATCATTGGGGAGGTCACTTGAATTCAGATTTCCTCTTATACCTAAATAACCATTAAGTGCCAAGTTTGCAGGAATACTTACATGCCACGGACACGTTGGCAGGGGTACTAATAATAGAGCCGTCGCTGGAGTTGATCATGCACTGATATCGGCCAGCATGGTGCAGACCCAGAGACAAAATGGTCAGGTTACCAGGCTGAATGTCCACATCCGATGTTTTCTCAACTAGTCTGCCGTTGAATAACCAAGAAATATGGGACCATGGCAGTTCGGCAGGACATGATAATGTGACCGGTACTCCAGGCTTCTGGACTGTAGAATTGAGCTCTGACACAAAGTAGGGCGTCACATCTTATTTAAAAAAAAAGAAAAAAAAAAATTATAAATTACACGAGATTCCAAAGGTCTAATCTGACACATGAAGTATAAACCAGGGGCGGACTGACAACTCATGTGGCCCCCGGCAATAGGAGATCATGGGGCCCCTGTGTCCTTGCCCAAACTCAAAAAAGCCTATGAAAAAGGTACCAGGGGCATCTCATAGGGCCGCCTACTGACCCCGGGCCCTCAGGCAGTGCCCAAGTTTCCAAATGGTCAGTCCGCCCCTGGTATAAACCTAAAGCATTTTGAGAAATCAACTAAAAGGATGGCTGATTCTGGTTGTTGGAATGATATGAAAGTGAAAAAAGGGGTATAAAGTGATACTAAAAGAAAGGGTTTTCAGTGGTAGACTATGAAGAGGAAGACGGGAGTTGGAATAATATTACAAAACGTTTTCTTGCTGGTATGATATGAAGATGGAGATTACTGGTGTGGGGGGACACAGTGAAGAGTGATATTAGGAGTAAAGTGTCACCATGGAATGAGATAAAGATGAAGATTAGTTGGATGAGAGACAAGTGAAGAGTGATACAAGGGGTAATGTATCAACAGGGAACGAGATAAAGAGGGAATTAGAAAATGGACATGAGTGCAGAGTGATGCTAAAAGTAAGGTATCTCAATGGACTCATATGGAAATGGAGATTAGTTGGATGAAGGACATGAGTGGGAATGTATTACAAGAAAGGTATGTAGACAGACTGATAGAGATTATTTGCATGAAGGGTATGAGTAAGGTATTTGCTGGAAAGATGTTAAGATGGAGATTATATGGGTGAGGGGCATGACTGAAGACTGATATAAGAAGTAGGGTATTTGAATCATGTGAAGAAGAGGATTATGTGAGTGAAAAGCATGAGTGATACAAGAAGTAGGATATGTGTTGGAATGATGTGAAGATGGAGATTAGAAGGATGAAGGGCAGTTTGGGCTATGTTCTTAGTTAACTCTATTGATCGATATCCTTTCAAGATGGTGAGCTCTTGGGCTACTGACGTTGGCTCATTTTAAGGAGGACCAATGGAAGGAGGCGATACAGGCAGTCCAGGGACCACTCTTAATGTTTCTCAGAGATTTAAGCAACTCTACTCTATATTCTTCTAATGGTATATTTTATTTGACTCGCAAGCTCTTCAAGATGGACATCCTTGACGATTCCCTATGCAATAAATGCATAAGTGATCGTGAAGATTTAATTAATTTACTATGGCTCTGCCCCAAGCTACATCCCTACTGGGCAGGGTTCATCCAAACTCTGAACTCAGTGTCTCAAGTAACAATTCAGACAGATGCCTAGCAGTGTACCTTGGATAAGTTAGACTCATTACAGCTACAAAAATTTACCAGGGGGCGATTTTGAGGACTCTGTTCCAAGTCTGTAGACTGCTCCTATCTTACTGGAAATCCACAGATTCCCACCCACCCTCACTGAATGGATAGAGTATATGGGAGACACACTTTGTCTGGAAAAATGTATTTACAAGCATAGAGGTTGCTCAGATAAATTTGAAAAAGTATCGGCCCCTGGCTTGATAAGCCATGTCTTAGTCCTCTAGATTTAGTTCTACACTGAGTTCACTATATGAACCACTGATGTATTTATAAATGGAGATCATATCCCCCCTTATGTATTATACATGGAGATCATATCCCCCCTTATGTATTATATATGGAGATCATATCCCCCCTTATGTATTATACATGGAGATCTTATCCCCCCTTATGTATTATACATGAAGATCACGCGTCCCCCCTTATGTATTTATACATGGAGATCACATCCCCCCTTATGTATTATACATGGAGATCATATCTCCCCTTATGTATTATACATGGAGATCATCTCCCCCTTATGTATTATACATGGAGATCATATCCCCCCATGGAGATCATATCCCCCCTTATGTATTATACATGGAGATCATATCCCCCCTTATGTATTATACATGGAGATCATATCACCCCCTTATGTATTATACATGGAGATCATATCTCCCCTTATGTATTATACATGGAGATCATATCCCCCCTTATGTATTATACATGGTGATCATATCCCCCCCCTTATGTATTATAAATGGTGATTATATCCCCCCCCTTATGTATTATACATGGAGATCATATCCCTCCTTATGTATTATACATGGAGATCATATCCCCCCTTATGTATTATACATGGAGATCATATCCCCCCTTATGTATTATACATGGAGATCATATCCCCCTTATGTATTATACATGGAGATCATATCCCCCCTTATGTATTATACATGGAGATCATATCCCCCCTTATGTACAGTTGCAAGAAAAAGTATGTGAACCCCTTGGGATTACGTGGAGTTTTGCATGAATTGGCATAAAATGTGCTCTGAACGTCATCTAAGTCACAACAATAGAAGAACACAGTCTGCTGAACATAATACTACACAAACATTAGATGTTGCCATGGTTTAATTGCACATAACATGTAAACATTCACAGTGCAGGGAGGAAAAAGTATGTGAACCTTTGGACTTAATAACTGGTTGACCCTCCTTTGGCAGCAATAACCTCAACCAAACGTTTCCTGTAGTTGCAGATCAGACCTGCACAACGATCTGGAGTCATTTTGGACCACTCCTCTTCACAAAACTGTTTCAGTGTAGCAATATTCTTGGGATGTCTGGTGTGAATCGCTTTCTTAAGGTCATGCCACAGCATTTCAATCGGGTTGAGGTCAGGACTCTGACTGGGCCACTCCAGAAGGCGTATTCTGTGCTGTTGCAGCCATTGTTTTGTTGAATTACTTGTATGCTTTGGGTCATTGTCCTGTTGCATCACCCATCCTCTGCGGAGCTTCAGTTGGTGGACAGATGGTCGTACGTTTTCCTGCAAAATGTCTTGATAAACTCTGGAATTCATTTTCCCATCAATGACAACAATCCGTCCAGGCCCTGAGGCAGCAAAGCAGCCCCAAACCATGATGCTCCCTCCGCCATGTTTCACAGTGGGGATGAGGTTTTTGATGTTGGTGTGCTGTGCCTTTTTTTTCTCCACACATAGTGTTGTGTGTTCTTCTTCCCAAACAACTCAATCTTGGTTTCATCTGTCCACATTATATTTTGCCAGTAGTGCTGTGGAACATCCAGGTGCTCTTTTGCAAACTTCAAATGTGCTGCAATCTTCTTTTTGGACAGCAATGGCTTCCTCCGTGGTGTCCTCCCATCTACTCCATTCTTGTTTACTGTTTTCCTTATTGTAGATGTGTCAACAAAAATGTTAGCATGTGCCAGAGATTTCTGTAGGTCTTTAGCTGACACTCTGGGATTCTTCTTTACCTCATGCAGCATTCTGCGCTGTGCTCTTGCAGTCATTTTTACAGGACGACCACGCCTAGGGAGAGTAGCAGCAGTGCTAAACTTTCTCCATTTGTAGACAGTCTGTCTTACCGTGGACACATGAACATCAAGGCTTTTGGAGATACTTTTGTAACCCTTTCCAGCTTCATGCAAGTCAACAATTCTTGATCGTAGATCTTCTGAGAGCTCTTTTCTGCGAGGCATGGTTCACATCAGACAGTGCTTCTTGAAACCAGTAAACCCAAAACAGGTGTGTGTTTTTTTAAGGGCAGGACAGTTGTCAGCAACACATCCAATATCATCACACTGATTGGAGTCAAGGTTGGCTCACTCCTGGCTCCAATTAGCTCTGGGAGAAGTCATTAAGCTAGGGCCTCACATACTTTTTCCTCCCTGCACTGTGAATGTTTACATGTTATGTGCAATTAAACCATGGCAACATCTAATGTTTGTGTAGTATTATGTTCAGCAGACTGTGTTCTTCTATTGTTGTGACTTAGATGACGTTCAGAGCACATTTTATGCCCAATTCATGCAAAACTCCACGTAATCCCAAGGGGTTCACATACTTTTTCTTGCAACTGTATTATACGCGGAGATCATAACCTCCCTTATGTATTATACGCGGTGATCATATCCCCCCTTAGGTATTATACCATGGAGATCATATCCCCCCTTATGTATTATACATGGAGATCATATCCCCCCTTATGTATTATACATGGAGATCATATCCCCCCTTATGTATTATACATGGAGATCATATCCCCCCCTTATGTATTATACATGGAGATCATATCCCCCTTATGTATTATACATGGAGATCATATCCCCCTTATGTATTATACATGGAGATCATATCCCCCCTTATGTATTATACATGGAGATCATAACCTCCCTTATGTATTATACATGGTGATCATATCCCCCCCTTAGGTATTATACATGGAGATCATATCCCCCCTTATGTATTATACATGGAGATCATATCCCCCCTTATGTATTATACATGGAGATCATATCCTCCCTTATGTATTATACATGGGGATCATATCCCCCCTTATGTATTATACATGGAGATCATATCCCCCCTTATGTATTATACATGGTGATCATATCCCCCCCTTATGTATTATACATGGAGATCATATCCCCCCCTTATGTATTATACATGGAGATCATATCCCCCCTTATGTATTATACATGGAGATCATATCCCCCTTATGTAATATACATGGAGATCATATCCCTCTTATGTATTATACATGGAGATCATATCCCCCCTTATGTATTATACATGGAGATCATATCCCCCCTTATGTATTATACATAGAGATCATATCCCCCTTTAATCTCCTCTTCTCAAGAGAGAATACATTCAGTTCCTCTAATCTTTCCTCATAGTGGAGCTCCTCCATGCCTCTTATCAAATTTGGTTGCCCTTCTCTGTACTTTCTCCAGTTCCCCAATGTTCTTTTTGTGAATTGGTGGCCAAAACTGAACTGCATATTCCAGATGAGGTGTTACGAAATGATTTGTACTGGGGGAAATTATATCTCTCTCTCTCTGGAGTCTATACCTCTTAATACAAGAGAGGATTTTGCTCGCTTTAGAAACTTTTCATTATATGAACTGTTCCTATTCCTGATCTGCTGTAATGAACAATTCTTATGGGAAGGTTTCTCTTGTTTACCTGTTTTGTGAAATGTTATGGCCCACTTTCCCTCCCCATCTTCTATGTACTTATTTTATTTAAAAAAAAAAAAAAAAAAAAAAAGATGGATATTATTGGGATGGTGAAGGGTAGAAGTGGTGGGTGATTTAAGATGTAGGGTATTTCCCTTGCTCTGTGGCTAGCTAACCCTGCATTCACCCCAGGCCTCGCCTCTCTGGAGTTTGCATGGTGGACAAACAAAGGGCTCTTATGCATCGCCGACTTCTATGATCACAGAGGGGTCTTGTCCCTGCAACATCATAAAGAAAAATATGCTTGGCCACCTACAGAATATTATATATACACCCAAAAAGCCCACTTTATTTCTTCACTGAAAAAGCTCTCTGACATATCCACAACAACCCGATGGAATACCTATGCAAACACATCAATGACTACTTAGGGCACATCTCCACGATTTACAGCATCCTGATCTCCATGAATGATAAACTCCCCTATATGGAGAAATGGAAACAGAATATGGGGGAGACCCTAGACTCTGCAGAATGGCATAGACTGGCTCAAGGAGCTGCAAAATCAAGCACTTCTCTAATTGGGGACAAATATAAAGTACCAATGAGATGGTATATGGTCCCTGCGAAAATTGCCGAATGGGTACCTGGAACCAAACCTAAATATTTCTGAGGTTGCGGCCAAGAAGGGACAGCCTATCATGTCTGGTGGGCGTGCCATAAGGTTTGTAGGTTCTGGATTTGTACCTACTCCTTTATCAACTCCCTTACAGGGATAATTCTACCAAAGTCCCCGAGACAGGCTCTCCCTGGACAACCTGCTAAAGGGAGCCCCAAAACACTCCCAACACCTAATAACCTTCCTCTTTATTGCAGCCAGAATAACAATCGCCAGGTCCTTTATATCTCCATTATCCAAGATAATTTATTCTTTAAAAGATCAAAAAGATATCACTGATCAACGAGCGCCTCTATGCCATTCTGCAGGACAGGATGGCCAGATTCGATAAGACCTGGGATCCCTGGATCTCCTACCTAACACGGACCACCTCGTTAGACCTGAGACTAACATCCTAGTGTTTTTGTAAGCAATAATGCAGGTCATTCTAGGCCACTGTATATGCTGATGCCTATTTTTACTGATTTCACAAGGTTTTGCATTTGTACCGTTTAAAACACTAATAAACACAAATGGAACGATGTAGGGTATTTGCTGGAATGATGTGAAGAGTTAATTAGAAGGGTGAAGATGATTGAAGAGTGACATAAAAAAAAAGTAGGGAATCTGTTGGAAAGATACCAAAAAATGGAGATTATTTGGGTGAAGGGTGTAAGTGATGAGTGATATAAGAAGTATTTGCTGGAATGATGTGAAGATGGAGATTATATGGGTGAGGGGAACAACTGAAGAGTGATCAAAGAAGTAGGGTATTTGCTGCAATGTTGTGAACATGGAGATTATATGGTTAAGGAGCATTATTGAAGAGTGATCTAAGTAGTGGGGCATTTGTTGGAATAATTCCAATAGATGGATATTATATAGGTGAGGGGCTTGACTGAAGAGTGATATAAGAAATAAGATATTTGCTGGAATAACGCAGAGATTATATGGTTGAGAGGAATGATTGAAGAGTGAAATTAGGTGTGAGGTTTCCTGATGGAATGAGTATACGGAAAGGAATACTGAACAACAATTTTAAAAAATAACTGTTGGGAATTTCTGAGGTTAGCTGAATGAGAGGCAGAAATATTAGAAGTAAGGTGTACTCATGGAATGAGAGGAGATTAAGGGGGTATATGATCTCCATGTATAAAAAATACATAAGGGGGGATATGATCACCATGTATAATACATAAGGGGGATATGATCTCCATGTATAATACATAAGGGGGGATATGATCTCCATGTACAATACATAAGGGGGGATATGATCTCCATGTATAATACATAAGGGGGATATGATCACCATGTATAATACATAAGGAGGGGGATATGATCTCCATGTATAATACTTAGGGGGGGATATGATCACCATGTATAATACATAAGGGGGGATATGATCTCCATGTATAATACATAAGGGGGGATATGATCACCATGTATAATACATAAGGGGAGATATGATCTCCATGTATAATACATAAGGAGGGGATATGATCTCCATGTATAATACTTAAGGGGGGATATGATATCCATGTATAATACATAAGGGGGGAGATGATCTCCATGTATAATACATAAGGGGGGATATGATCTCCATGTATGATACATAAGGGGGGATATGATCTCCATGTATGATACATAAGGGGGGATATGATCTCCATGTATGATACATAAGGGGGGATATGATCTCCATGTATGATACATAAGGGGGGATATGATCTCCATGTGAAATACATAAGGGGGATATGATCTCCATGTATAATACATAAGGGGGGATATGATCTCCATGTATAATACATAAGGGGGGGATATGATCTCCATGTATAATACATAAGGGGGGATATGATCACCATGTATAATACATAAGGGGGGATATGATCTCCATGTATAATACATAAGGGGGGATATGATCTCCATGTATAATACATAAGGGGGATTGGATCTCCATGTATAATACATAAGGGGGGATATGCTCTCCATGTATAATACATAAGGGGGGATATGATCTCCATGTATAATACATAAGGGGGGATATGATCTCCATGTATAATACATAAGGGGGATATGATCTCCATGTATAATACATAAGGGGGGATATGATATCCATATATAATACATAAGGGGGGATATGATCTCCATGTATAATACATAAGGGGGGATATGATCTCCATGTATAATACATAAGGGGGATATGATCTCCATGTAGAATACATAAGGGGGGGATATGATCTCCATGTATAAATACATCAGTGGTTCATATAGTGAACTCGGTGTAGAGTTATTCACCCTGAGGTTATCACAGAGGACAAGGGGGCACTTTTTACGTCTGGAGGAAAAGAAATTTAATCTCCAAACACGGAAAGGTTTCTTCACAGTAAGAGCTGTGAAAAATGTGGAATAGACTCCCTCAGGAGTTGGTTCTGGCCAGCTCAGTGGATTGCTTTAAAAAAGGCCTTTCTTAGATATACAGAATATTATTATTATTATATTATTATTATACAGTATTTATATAGCGCCAAAAGGTTTGCTCAGCGCTGTACATTATAGTGGGGGACAGAACATGAGATAATACAGTAACAAAACAGTACACGAGGGGTTCGAGGGCCCTGCTCTTTCGAGCTTACAATCTAGGAGGGAGGGGATAGTGATACAGGAGGAAGTGGCTGTGTGGGGGATGGAGTGGTAGCAGGAGTGGAGGAGATCGGCTGTTAAGTGAGGGTGGGGTAGGCTTCCCTGAAGAGATGGGTTTTCAGGGTGAATATAACTGGTTACTAACATTTATAGGTAAAGTTGATCCAAGGAATATCCGATTGCCTCTCAGAGGATCAGAAAGGAATTTTTTACCCTGCAGGAGCAAATTGGATCATGCTTTGCTGGGTTTTTTTTTTGCCTTCCTCTGGATCAACTGGATTATAACTTTTTTTAAATGGTTGAACTGGATGGTCTTTTTTCAGCCGGACTAACTATGTAAGACTATTAAAGAAAAATGACAAAAGGGTACAGCATATGGATAGAAATACAAATCTTGGTAAGATATGTAATCACCAACACTAAACTATAAATGGAAAGCCGCTTCTACAAAGAAAAATTCAATTTTTTACCTCTTCAAGCACAATATAAACAAAATCATCGAATTCCATACCTGCATCTCCATGCATGCACAGCAAAAGAAGCCCAGAAACAAAGTAGTGGAAGCCACGGCCCAGGATGCATAGCGCTGTGTCACACCAACGAACAGTGCAAACGTCCGGGAGAAGAGGAGGAAGCCGACACAGTCTGAAAAAAGAAATACCAAAAACATGAGCTTACATTTCACTGCCAAATATGTTAACACCCTGGCTCTCACATGTTGCGGTGTCGGTGCAAATTTGTTTGGAGTATGAACTAATATGTAATGCAATAAGTCGTTTCAGAGAGGACACCATTTTATAAAAAAGATTAGCCAAAATCTTTTTTCTTATAAAATGATGATTCAGCGCTCTGAAAAAAAATTAGGATTCTCTGCATCCTTTATTACAGAATGTATGAGCAAATAATGTACAATAGGCACTGTATAACCCCAAAAGTCTCACTGAATCACAACAAGAATGCTGGTGGTTTTCTGACTATCATATACAGAAAGCATGCCATAATGTATAACGGAATAAAGTACACAAAGGAATGTAGTACACAGGATAAACAATGCTGTATCATCAGCAGTAATCAGTATGACACACTAGACACAAATCACTGAACAGGTAGATGCTATGTATTAGATCAGATATACATTGCTTATAAAAATGAAAGGAACACTTTTTAATCAGACAATAATAATATGCAGCGCTAATTGCCAAAATAAAAAATCAAATATAATACATAATTATGAATTAAGGACAACAAACGTGATATCATCTGTTGATACATCACAGAAGTCACGTTTATCCTGCATGAACTTCACGTTTTGTTGTCCTTAATTCATAATTATGTATATTTGATTTTTATTTTGGCAATTAGCGCTGCATATTATTGTCCGTTTATTAATTGAAGTTCCAGAGGTTTACTTCCTATGCCAGTCGCTAGCCTTCTTTTCTTCTTTGTTCTTTTTATTGACATCTAGCGCTTGTTTTTTATTTCTTTTTATACTTTTTAATCAGAGTCTAGCATCAAGTCAATTAAACTCCTGGGATATTGATCCGGTCAGTTAAGTAGCAGAGGGGGTTGTCAATCAGTTCCAGCTGCTTTGGTGTTAATGAAATTAACAGGTGCACTAAACGGGCAACAATGAGACGACCCCAAAAACAAGAATGGTTTTACAGGTGGAGGCCACTGACATTTTTTTCCCTACTCATCTTTTCTCACTGTGTTTTTCACTAGTTTTGCATTTGGCTAGAGTCAGTGTCAATACTGGTAGCATGAGGCAATACCTGGACCCTACAGATGTTGCACAGGCAGTCTAACTCTTCCAGGATGGCACATCAATACATGCCATTGCCAGAAGGTTTGCCGTGTTTCCCAGGAAATACCCCAGGACACCATCCGTCGTCTCATTAAGAGCATGCCCAGGGGTGGACTGACCATTTGGAAACTCGGGTACTGCCCGAGGGCCGGGGTCAGTAGGGGGCCCCATGAGATGCCCCTGGTACCTTTTTCATAGGCTTTTTTGAGTTTGGGCAAGGACACAGGGGCCCCATGATCCCCTATTGCCGGGGGCCCCATGAGTTGTCAGTCCGCCCCTGAGCATGCCCCAACGTTGTCAGGCATGTATACAAGCACATGGGGGCCATACAAACTACTGAGGACCATTTTGAGTTGCTGCAATGAAATATCAGCAAAATGAACTAGCCTGCTGTATCATTTTTTTCCACTTTGAATTTAGTCCTCTGTAGGCTGATCATTTCCATTTCCATCAAAGACAACCGGAAAATCAAACGATGGGGCATCCTTACATTCCTAACACATTACCCCGTCCACATCAGTATAGAGATCCAGCAGGAGATTTTTTCCTCATTGAGATCTGATGTGTTTTCAAAAAGTGTTCCTTTAATTTTTGTGAGCAGTGTACATTACCGAATCATCTGTAGATGGCAGTATAGATATACATTTGTACATTCTGGTAAGAATGGAGTGAGTATACTGGATGTAACATTACGGAGCCGCAGTTCACACTGAGCCATACATGAACCGCACCGCATCCCTGTGCAATTCACATGCAAATACAGTGCGGTGTGGTTTGAGACATTCATTTTGAACAGGTTGGTTCACAGTGCACCACATCGTGCTGAACTCATGCATGCAGCAATTTTAGAACTGCACTGCAACCAGATCGCTTGGTCATTTTGTACCATGTAAGCTGGTGCAGGCAAAACACACTTCATTTGCAACTTAAGTTCGGGGTGTCGTCAGGGCTGATTTATAATTTAGGAGCCTATAGGCAGAGAATTCTGAAGCACCCCTACTCCCCCCCCCCCCAAAAAAAAAGACAGTAAGGCCAACTTTTTTTTTTCTTGATAAATATTTTTAAATAAATATTTTTATATTTGTAAAAGGGGAATGCTGCAGACTCTGATGTAAAGGGGAACACTGCGGACCCTGATGTAAAAGGGAACTATGATGTAAGGAGGACCCTACGGACCATGATGTAAATAGGGGAAATTTGATGTAAGGTGGTCTCTGGTCACCAAATTCCCCCCCCCCCCCCACCCTTAAATCACAGTCAGCGCAGCATTCCCCTTTACATCAGGGTCTGCAGTGTTCCCCTTTACATCAGGGCCAGCAGAGGTTCCTTGCACTGTGTGGGGGGGAGCTCTGGTGACCACAGTTCTCCTTGCATCTAGGTGATCTGTCACTGGAAATCACTCTCCCCCCCCCCCATTTCTGTATTAATATGGGGGAGGGGGGGGAAGATGTCACCCCAATGAGTATTGGGATAGGGATGTATTGTATATTGTATTGCATAGGGATGTCAATGGGTATTAATCCTGCAGGCGGGGAGATGTCACCCCATAGGGATGAACAGGGATGTCCATGGTGGTGGGGGCTTTGTCACTGGCAGCATCTCTGATTGAGGAAGACAAGGTGACACCTGAGGAGTCCATGCATCAAGTGTCACCCCCCCCCCCCCCCCATTCCAACTATGAAGAATGGGTGGGTTGCAATTCCTGAGAAGGACAGAGATCGGGGATCTCCCCCTATAAGGCCACCCCCCCCCCCCAACACTTACTCTACCAGTGGGGGTCCCTTTGACTGCCATGACGTCCGGAGTGGGGTTGAGCTGGATGGGGACTGGCTACTTCTTCGAAATTTTGTGTCCTGTGGCCGGCTGCCTGCTCCCTGACTGCATAGAGAGTGCTGATCCCAAATCCTCCTGTCTCCACATCGGAGGCAGGGACTCTCTCACTACATTGTAAGCATCTCTGTTATCAGCAGGCACAGCCAATGGGGGGAGCCGTCCGGACAGACAGAGGGACCTTGAAAATATGTCACAGGAACCCCAGCAGACAAGGTGCCTCCTGACGGCAGGCCAAGGGAGTTGTCAGCAGGGCCCCATCAAATGAGCTCCGGGAAAGAAAGGAGCAGCAATCCTTCAGACGGGTGCCCCTTTAGGAAGGGTGCCTGTAGGCACATGCCTATTGGGAAATCTGGCCCTGGGTGTCATTAAGATTGTAATAACACCCACTGCAGATCGCAATGGCACTGCAATTGAAATGTGGTGTGGGAAACGCACACAGATCGCAGGGTTTGCTGCATCGCATGAACCTAGGTTGAATCATGGAAAAGCAACAGCATAGTACACTAGATACAAATGAATGACTCGGGCAGACAACAGGATACACATTACTGAATGCCGGACAGTAAAGTACAATGTAGTGAACTAGATATACATTACGGAATCATAGGCAGGGGTGTAGTACACTAGATATACATTACATTACAGAATCCTGGACAGGCAGCAGTGTAGTACACTAGATATACAGTACAGAATCCTGGACAGGCAGCAGTGTAGTACACTAGATATACAGTACAGAATCCTGGACAGGCAGCAGTGTAGTACACTAGATATACAGTACAGAATCCTGGACAGGCAGCAGTGTAGTACACTAGATATACAGTACAGAATCCTGGACAGGCAGCAGTGTAGTACACTAGATATACAATGCCAAATCCTGGACGGGCAGCAGTGTAGTACACTAGATATACAATGCCAAATCCTGGACGGGCAGCAGTGTAGTACACTAGATATACAATGCCAAATCCTGGGCGGGCAGCAGTGTAGTACACTAGATATACAATGCCAAATCCTGGACAGGAAGCAGTGTAGTACACTAGATATACAATGCCAAATCCTGGACGGGCAGCAATAGAGTACACTAGATATACAATGCCAAATCCTGAACAGGCAGCAGTGTAGTACACTAGCTTTACAATGCCAAATCCTGGACAGGCAGCAGTGTAGTACACTAGATATACAGTACAGAATCCTGGACAGGCAGCAGTGTAGTACACTAGATATACAATGCCAAATCCTGGACAGGCAGCAGTGTAGTACACTAGATATACAATGCCAAATCCTGGACGGGCAGCAGTGTAGTACACTAGATATACAATGCCAAATCCTGGGCAGGCAGCAGTGTAGTACACTACATATACAGTACAGAATCCTGAACAGGCAGCAGTGTAGTATATACTAGATATACAATGCCAAATCCTGGACGGGCAGCAGTGTAGTACACTAGATATACAATGCCAAATCCTGGACAGGCAGCAGTGTAGTACACTAGATATACAATGCCAAATCCTGGACAGGCAGCAGTGTAGTACACTAGATATACAATGCCAAATCCTGGACGGGCAGCAGTGTAGTACACTAGATATACAATGCCAAATTGAACGGGCAGCAGTGTAGTACACTAGATATACAATGCCAAATCCTGGATGGGCAGCAGTGTAGTACACTAGATATACAATGCCAAATCCTGGACGGGCAGCAGTGTAGTACACTAGATATACAATGCCAAATCCTGGACGGGCAGCAGTTTAGTACACTAGATATACAATGCCAAATCCTGGACGGGCAGCAGTGTAGTACACTAGATATACAATGCCAAATCCTGGACGGGCAGCAGTGTAGTACACTAGATATACAATGTCAAATCCTGGACGGGCAGCAGTGTAGTACACTAGATATACAATGCCAAATCCTGGACGGGCAGCAGTGTAGTACACTAGATATACAA